AATACTTGTCGGGAATAGTTGCGAGGCAGCACTGTCTGCACTTGCCAGAGTTTCCACTACTCGGCGGCAAACAGCACGAGGCCCTCGCGGTTCAGGTGCTCTCAACCAATCCCTAGCCAGTACTGAGACTCTCAACATCTGTGCTGCTGTCTGCCCAATAAAGACCACCTCAGAATCCAGAGCAGCTTGAGCAGCTGTAGAAAGATGTACCATGACACTGTTTGTGTCCTTATTCTGTACTGCTAACCCTGGTGCAGATTCTTCTAAAAGCTTATGCAAGTGAGTGTGCAATGTTGAAACACCACTCTCTTGCATTTCTAAACATAATTTAGCTAATATTAATAGTAACTCAAAGGGAATGTTATTATTGGATGTTTGCAGGCAGGCCATCTTCTTGACCATATCGGACAAATTGACCATTGTCTCGGAAATGACTTTCCAACAAGTGTCTGCTACAGCTGTAGCACACCATGGTTTCAGACCAAAGGATAGATTATTTTGTAAGAAGGCCATGAGGTCCAGTAATGATGCTTGGACTTTTTGCAATAGGTATACTTGGAGTGAATTCAATATGTCCTTCAAATCAGTGGTGTCTGTGCCTTTACTTGCGAGAGACTGTCTTACTTTTGTCAAGCTCTCTTTAAACTGAGATTGAATTGATTGATATTGTATTGTGGCCTTATGATTGATGCACTGTATTACTACATCAATTGCTTTGTTAGACATGGTGTCACTAGATATGATCTCTGTCATTGCCTGTAACTTCCTGAAGAATTTGTCCAGTCCTCTGATCAGGATTTCAGTTCCAATATTATCTGGTTTCTTGACAACTTCTTCAAATAAGTGGAATACTTGTAACATAATTTTGTCCGCAAAATCTGGAATGTTAGTACTCTCTTTATCTTGAAACATATCATGGTAGCAAGATATAATAATTCCAAGGTCAGCTAATAGAGTGTTATTGCATTTTTCAACCCACTCTAATATATCAGTAGTTTCAACCATCCCACTTAATGCCTGTAAGTGCTGGTCAAGCCGACTCTCGGAACAGCTTAGGAAAATGTCTTGTAGAGAAGAGTCTGTTTCTTGGAGTTGTCTCAATAAGCCAACACTTTCAGCCAGTTCTGAAGCTGAGGTATCAGGACTTAGTAGTCTTTCTCGTAAGGTCTTCTTTAGACCATAGATAATTTCAGAACACTCAGTCTGAATGCTTTGGAATGAAGGCTGGTTACCATACTTTTGTAATACTCTTTGAGCATGAGTGTAATCATGTACTGCATCAGCATATCTGCCTTCTTCAATGGCTTTGTTCAGTTGGGAAGGCAACAAGAATAAGAACTGGAGTTTATCCAATAATTGTCTCGTTCCACATAATCTGCTGACATTGTTTCCACTTTCTCTCAACGAATCAGATATCTGAGCGCTAAATGTAGTAATTTTGTTCATGTTTTCGCTCAGTTTGTTCATTTCTTCTTGCATTATTTTAAAATCTGTTCTCATTTTTCGAACAGTTTCTGTCGCGGAGATAAACTTGTTATAGTTCTCATATACTAACGTTTGCATTTCTGACTGTAGGAACTGGCTCTGGGTGACTATTTCAGCCTCTTTATCCATCACTTGCTTCAATGTAGCACATTTGAGGAGTACATCTAAATACATGTCGGGATTGAAATTGCTTCCGTCTATATCCAACGGGTTTTCCTCTTTCTCTTTTGCTACTTCTGCCATCCTTGCGAAATTGTAGTTTTTTTACTTAAAACATTAAACTGTTGAGCATGAAACTAATAAAATCGAATTACTTTGATGAAATATTATGACAACACAACATTGAACAATCACTATGATGTGTTATGAAAAGTGACATTACTTTTTTTTTGACACTTGACAGCCATAACAGCTTAACACATTTTGTTTCACGCAAGACGATCAACACGCAACTCACAAATTATGATTGAATGGTTTTCCACTGAAGTAGGCAAAGCAAAGCAGATGTGTGCGTTACCCAGGCCTGTTGTCGAAAAAGGTCATTTGAATCTTATAGATAATTAGTTGTGCGGGTTCTGTTATTGTTGCGCACATTTTTAAATCTGTTGCGCTTATAGTTTTTTAATTGTATAACAAAAACATTTCCTGCTGGGGTAATGTTACCCCAGCCAGACCTTTTTCTTTCTAATGGGAATATTTAAATGATTACAAGCTAAAAAATTTGTTGTCTAGATGAAGTAAATGTTGTGCCTTTTTATTATTTGTTCTTTCATCGGTTGCGAGGTTATTCGAGATTTTGCTGGGGTAACGTTTTTGATTTTGCTAGAACTTTGAAATGGTTCAGCAGATTCTTATCATATTTGGTACATGGCTTCTTAGGAATTAGTTTAAATTTGTTGTGCAATAAAAAAGCTAAAATAATACATAGCTTAAAGGTTATTTCATTAAATAGAAAAACACTTCAATTGGTCCCAGCACTCTCAATAAGAGCTCTAAAGCTCAAATGTATGTGAAGTTTCATTAGTAAATTTAAACTAATTCCTAAGAAGCCATGTACCAAATATGATAAGATTCCGCTTAACCATTTCAAAGATCTAGGATCAAATAAAAAACGTTACAACAGCAGAATCTCGAATAACTTCACAACCGATGAAAGAACAAATACAAAATAAGGCACAACATTTACTTCATCTAGTCAACTAATTTTATAGCTAGTAATTATTTAAATATTCCCATTAGAAAGAAAAAGGTCTGGCTGGGGTAACGTTACCCCAGCAGGAAATATTTTTGTGAAATAATTTAAAAACTACAAGCGCAACAAATTTAAAAATATGAGCAACAATTATAGAAGCCGCACAACTAATTATCTGTAAGATTCAAATGACCATTTTCGACAACATCTGGCCTGGGTAACGCATACAAAGCAGAAGGTTGAGATGGAATACCAAATGGCCCGATTTTACTTATTACTTTCGCTTTAAATTGCTTTAGTAAATCTAACATTCATTATTCCATGAGCATGCTATTCTTTACTCTTATCATTTTACTTTTACACCACATATTAAAAATTGTTTGTTTTTGGAAATATCTAATTGTAAGGTGTAAGGAATGATGAAATATATATTTAAAAACTGTCGTCTTTTCCCTAAAGTTACTTGGGGAACGTATCTGTTACTCTACTTATTAAGATCACACTATGCAAGTGTGCACTTGAAGTCTACTGGTGAACATTCAGGAAGAGGTACAACATTACACAACAAAAATATTCATGGACGAAAAAATATATTTTATTTACTTTCCATAAATTCCAAAGGCTCAATCAATATACATTTATACGTATAATAACATCTTGTTCTTTGGCTTACATCTAAATAGCAAATATACATTTATCTTGCACTTAACCATTGTACGATCACTCTTATAACAGCCAATATTTGTAATAAAATTTTATATTGAAGCATTTTACTATCACAAAATAAATTCTATGCTTATTGTTATCCATTGGACAAACATTTAAACCAAATATAAGTCTAAGTGTCTTTGGCAAATGTTGGTCCAATATCTAAGCAAGTATTCTAACATTTACTATAACTGCCGGTCATAAACTTCCACATCCCTTAGTACGTAAGTATAAGTAAATTATATTTAAGGATATTAATAAAAACTACGCAAATGGCATTGCAATAAATGCGGAAAATTTACATTCATTTAATATAATTTATATAGTGGTAATCATTTTTCTAGACAACTATGTGTGTTACCCAAAGAATAAAATAATTAATTGTTCTATTTTGTTTAGACGTAAGTACATCAAATTGAACATATAATGAACTTCTGTCTAATAGATTTTAATTTCATCACCTTTGTTTTGTAATCAATAGCATTTCGATTGAAGTGGCTTAATGTGTTGTCTGTACGTCAAATCAAATATAAATAACATTATAATTTTGTTTAAAACTGCTTTAAAACAAATTGACATTTATATTAATAAAGAGAAATTAGCACAGCTAATAGTTTGTAGAATGTGTTTTCCATTTTCCGCATAACGAGATGGCACTAGTGAGCGTTAAGGTCCTATTTACCCAACTGAAGGAAGGGAATTGCTTTTCGCGTGTATCTTGTATGTATATGGGTATGGTTGTGATATTCTTTATTACCTCGTTTCTTCTAAACCACCCAACCGATTTAGACATATGATGTATTGCCATTGTCCAATCACTTGATTTGACATAACCAAATATTGGCCAATAGCTATACTAGCACCTAGCGGCGCCAACACCATCATTTAACAGTTGTTTTAAAAAGAACTACAAAAACAGTTATTATCAAATACTGGATCCATGAAATACTGTTTGCTACAGAAATAGATTAATATAAAATATACTACGTAAAAACGAAATCTTACTTATCCTTATTACTAGCCAAAGACCATTCAATTAAGTTATTAAATTGTTCTATATTTAAATGCATAACCCCTTTTCCAGTTCCAAAATGAAAATTAAAATAAAAAAATGTTCTAAAATGTACACACGTACAACTTAAACCTATTTTGTGACCTGACTAGCCTTATATTAATCAAATTATACATAATTCGGAGAAAGAGAAGATAGAATAGCAGATATTTTTTACATAACATATAAACTTATAAATATTATAAGATAACAATTACATATGTTATTAAATAATACATTTAGAAAATGTATAAGAAATACATATAGGTACATAAATATTATCAACTAATTAAATAAATATGCCATTTTCTGTAACGTTTTTACATGTCACTTCTCATACACAATGTATTTTACAAATTGTGTGCTAGTTAAATTTCATAATATAAACTCATAAAAAGGTGAATCAATGAGTTTAGGAAGGTATAATTAGATTTAATAGAAAATCTCATAGGAACAGCTGCAATCTCATACGTTTGTAGAAAAAGAACAATGTTATAAACTATTCTGACCATTTACCATTAATATCATGACAAAAAAATTCTTACCACTAATCAATATAGTTTAAGTTTAAGGTCAGACATTCAATCACTTTGTAGTTATTGCAATGGCAATAAATCAATGAAACCTAAATAATAATTAGAAGCTATTTCGAGTGCACCAGCATATATTATCTTAAAATCCTTAAAAAATAAGGTCAATGAAACATTAAAAAAAAACAGTATGATCCGTAACGGCAATAGTAGAGAAATATTTAAAGTAATTAAGATAGTTATACTTAACAAACATTAAAACACGTTTAGCTTACAGTATAGAGAAGAATAAGAAAAGTTTATACAAAACGAGTATTAAACATTACAAAGATTCATTTTAGCTACATGAAGATACCATTCAGAAGAAATTGAATTAAATTATTCTAAAACACTGAACAACCGATTTCAAAGGAGCAGAGAAATTGCCTTAAGGTCGTGTCATTATCATCATATATTCTTCTTAAAGCAAGAATGCATTCATAAGATATGAAGTCAAGCTTGGCAACGAGTCTCGTTGTTTCATTCAACAGATGGCGCTCGTATAGCAATAGGCATGTTTGTCCAATCACTGTAGCTGTCAAAAATTGTATGTCCAATGGTTTACTAGCTCATTCTCTATTGGACACAAAAATACTTTACGAGCGCTATCTTGTGAACACGTTAGCCCTCATCAAATGGTTGGTCTTACAAATCGGTATTCTGTTTACCTTCTAAAATTAATGGTAATAACTGTACAACATAATTAGTCACTCTGTCCTTAAACGCAGGGGGTCCAAGAATGGGAGATCACTAGCGACACTCTCCCCCTGATGAAACACCTTTAATGGGACTTCTTTCACTTTGTTCAAAGGTTTTATATTCGGTTTCTGCTGTTGTTTATGTATCATGGCGACGGGTACCAGTTGACGACGACCTACCTTCTCTGTTGTTTGACCTTCAGCGGCCTCTAATGCAGTTTCCACATCTATTAAGGCGTGATTGCGGCATTGGAGTAACGCAGCGAGCTGTTGGGAAACAGTAAAATGCGTTAGTTATTGGATTATATCAAAAGTCAGTCATGACTCATGATGGTTGGTCTGAATATATCATATTAGGTTATTGTCATTAATTCAAAAAACCTAACGACCTAACATAGATAGAATAAATTTTGACAATATCCATTTGTTGTCTTTGATCCTTGTAACATTTAATAACATTTCTATAAGTACCTATTGTATTCATTTAGTTATGAACGGGGAGCTAATATTTGAAGAGTATCCAGCTAATGTCACAGATCACCATATTATAGATAACAACGCCCACGCATCGGCAAGACCAGAGTGGTTTCAGTCAGCAAGAGCTTAACATTACCTCCTGCCTCACGCGGGACGAGAGGAATCAATTGATGATTTCCCACCGACAAAAAAGTATTTGAATAACTCGTTTAGTGTTGAAAATGTCTATGAGCGTAGCCGAATGTTTACAAGCAGGTGATCTGTCTACTCGTTTGCTGCTGTATGCAATGAAAAACTGCAGCATGTACCCTGCATACCTGCAGTATTTGCTGCAGTGGTTGCTGGACGGCAGGCGGGGGGCGCGGCAGTGCGCGCGCCAGTGCGGCGGCGGCGGCGGGCAGCTGCGCGCGGACGAGTGCCAGCGCGGCCAGCTCGCGCGCCACGTCGGCGCCTTCCGCCACTCCTTCGGACCCTGACTCAGACCCAGCCCGGGCCTCCACTTCACGCCAGGAACGAGGCTCTGTTTCTGCGGTTTCCGCGTTCCTATGTTGATAAAATACAGGTCACAATCCCATAATATAAAACATATTTCATCACATAGTGTCAAAATGTTTAGTATTAAATACCCTTAGCAGAGTTGTCACGATATACACCAGGGTCGTTAATTTTTGAAACCAAAAGAAATACATTAGGTTGAAATGTCACTAATCGGGCGTCAACTACTTTTAAGGTTCCCTGAGGGCACGGCGGTGCTCAGCCCATACAGGGCATTCCCCCACTGTGTGTTCTACCGTGTCCTCAAGGCGGTCCTCGCAGTGATGACACCCAGGCGTTTCCTCCCGCCCCATCAGACACAGGTACCTCCCGAAACTTCCATATACAGTGAGGACCTGCGTCAGGCGGTAGGTGAGGACGCCGTAGCGTCTCTAAAGCCACTCCTCAAAGAGGAGACTTACTGCTGCAATGGCAGCGAGCCCAGCTAAGTACCGATAGGTTTAATTATTCGAATTAATAAATTTGGTTAATCTATTCAAGAGATATTATAATTTCAAGAACTTACATAGGTATGACAATCAGAAAAACAGTATTTCGAATTTTTCGCGTAAATTTTGAGAATATGTGTAAACAAAACATGTTTTCTTTAATTTATTGTTCTCATTTGATTTAAGTAATTTAACCTTCTTTGATGTTACCATAGATGGCACATTATTACGTTAAAGATTTTGTTAGAACTGTCAAAATAAGAAACGCTTTAAATAGTAATAATTGAACATATATGGAAAAATTAATTAAGATAGATAAAAGGGAAATTCGAATAAAAATAATTGACTTAATCGTCGTTTCTTTATTTTAGTGGTGAAGGGATTCTTATTAATTTGTTATTTGATAATCAGTGTACATAAGTAGGTATTTTATATTACTTAAATAAAATCTTTATTTTACAGAGCGACACGTGGCTTATTATTATATCAAAAATTCCAAAACCATCCTACCTATTGTAAAGCGTTTTACATATGTATAAAAAGTGTATACACAAAAGTTGTAAATCTTTCCAGTTTGTAGAACTTTGCCCTTGAACTTTTTTCTATATGACTTGTAGTTTCGCCGGAAATTAAGATAAACCATTTTTAACCCTTAAAAACTCACTCCCTCCCACTTCCCGATCTCGAATCGACCGAAATTTTGTTTTCCCTTTCATTTTTATCATAAACCCCTCCTTTTCTAATGAGTTTCATCCTACTGTATTTCTTTTTCATTTTTAACATTTTCAAAGGTTTCGGGCCTGGTCTAATACCATATAGCTTTTTATCAATTTCGTTCGTCTTTGTACTTTCGTCTATACCAGTTAACACTATTTTTGTACACTGAATAAAATGTAAGATTTCTAGTTTAACTATCTCAGGTATGTAAATTGTACTTACGTGTGATTGACGACTTCCTGCCGTACGGGCGGGCGCGGGTACTCCAGCGGGGCGCGCAGGTGCAGCGCCAGCGCACACACGTACCCCACGCACAGGCACACTGGACGCATCAGTGCGGACAGGATCACTCCCGGGTCCGGGTCCAATACTGGAAATAATTGATGAAACTTATAATATCAAGCTTAAGGAATATTTTATTCAAAGTTATAATATAAGAAAACATTTAACATCTTAAAAATTCCCAGGAATTTTATCTTAGAAAATAAAACAATAGTGTGCGTTACCCAGGCCAGACGTTGTCGAAAATGGTCATTTGAATTTAATAGATAATTAGTTTTGCGGCTTCTGTAATTGTTGCACACATTTTTAAATGTGTTGCGCTTATAGTTTTTAATTATTTTACAAAAACATTTCCTGTTGGGTAACGTTACCCCCAGCCAGACCTTTTTCTTTCTAATGGGAATATTTAAATAATTACTAGCTATAAAATTAGTTGTCTAGATGAAGTAAATACTGAGCCTTATTTTGTATTAGTTCTTTCATCGGTTGCGAAGTTATTCGAAATTTTGCTGGGGTAACGTTTTCTGGTTTTGCTAGATCTTTGAAATGGTTAAGCGGATTCTTATCAGATTTTGTACATGGCTTCTTAGGAATTACAAATACAAAATAAGGCATAACATTTACTTCATCTAGACAACTGATTTTATAGCTAGTAATTATTTAAATATTCCCATTAGAAAGAAAAAGGTCTGGTTGGGGTAACGTTACCCCAGTAGGAAATGTTGTGTGAAAAAGTTTTTACTTTTATAAATTTCACAAAATGTCCTATTAACATCATCAGAATTTTAATTCTATTTTTTTTTATTATGATTATTTTATTTAACCTCTTTTTGATCGTCCCGTTTAATACTAATATAATACATTTAAAACTATAAAACTTACAAATTACTTACAAAGAGTATAAAAGAACACAAAAAAATAACTATTTACAAAGAGTGCCAAAAAAGTCGTCCGAGTCGATGACAACTAGAAACCAGAAGGCCGGCAGCATATAGATAGGTACTTTACGAAACTAGAGTATAAATAGTTATACAATGTACAAGCATTTTATATTCTGGTATTGAATTACTTACATGTATTTCTCATAGAGATTAGCATGGCGATGATGACGTAGTGTAGATTCGGGAACATCGGTCCGTCAGCAAACAAAAATCCCCACAGATTGGGAATCTCAGACCTTGGGAACTCTCGACCAAATAACAGTCGTAGCCATCGTCTGGGGAAAAACATATTACAACTTTGACTTTGACAATTTACAGTGCATTATTTATGAACTTGAAGAATAAAAAATACTGTAAGACATTTCTAGCGTTTATCGTTGGTGATTTGCTAAAAACGTAGTATTTATCAAATCTAAAGTTGACTATTTTCTCTGAAGGGAAACTTACATTCCAAATAGCTCCATAGATATATTGCAGTCAACTAGATGTACAGATAATTCTAGATCGAGAGGCACTAGAAATTCTTCTCTCACTTTATCCAAATATCTTATCACTTCGTTTGGATTCTGAAATAATAGTACAGTAGTTATTTATAGCGACCTCACATTATATAAAAATAGAATTAAAAAGACAAGGTTAATGTTTTACATTGGTTGCGCTAACTAGATTGTTGCGCTAAATTGCGCTCAATTTTGCGCAACCTCTTGGTTGACATAACTTACATGAGACATTTTAGCGGTGGGTAATCTTCCACACGATGTAGGCACGATGTCACCCGTCGTGTAAAACCTTTCTAAGCCTTTCATTATTGCACTGAAAAGCATACTGGAAAAAGAATAGTTTTTTAAAGCAACATTTCTTCACACATAACATAACATCAGGCCTTTTATCCCCGAAGAGGTGTGCATTATGCCACTGTACAATGTAACACCCACTTTTCACTATTTATGTTATGAGTCCCATGTAATAGGGGGTGAGCCTATTGCCATATACCGTGCACAAGACTCCGTTCTACTACTGTGAATTTTTTGATAAACTCAGTAATACTTTGCCCGACCCGGGAATAGAACCCGAGACTCTTTGCCCGGCAGTCGCACTTGCGACCACTCGGCCAATGAGGCAGTCAATATTTCTTTATTTTAATCATAATTCTACTGATCGAAAACAGAATGTAGAATATACTTACTAGCTATCGTGTTCTAAGCAGTCTTCCTTTAGTATATATTTTAACTTATCCCTGAAACAAAATACATTTTATTTAATAAAATAACATTGAGTGTCATGTGTTATATATGTAAATTTTCTAAAATAAATAAATATCTAAATGTGTATGTGAACTTGTATGTTTGTAAACGCACCCACGACACAGGAAAAAATCTTAAGAGTGGGGGCAACATTCAAATAAAAAAAAACAATGATAATTATGTTCTTTGATATATCTTACCCTAATCCATCAGGTGCAAATTTCCTATCTAGGTACAGTTCAAAGAGCACTGGTGCTAGGATCTCGTGCATGCCTTGTCTATAACCCACGTTTGCGTGGGAACGTGCCCAGAAGAATAAGATGCGGACCTGAAAATACGTTTATGACCAATAAATAATATTTATAATTACATATAAACATTTTTTCTGCATGAGAAAGTTTGAAATGGAATAGAGTTTCATTTATACTACCGGTTTTTATTTTCAATTCATGAGTTTTTATAAATCAAATAGATTTAAGGCAAAACATAAGCTAAGTTCCTCTTTTACCTTATAGTTCGAATACGTATTACACCTTTAATCACGGGCCTTATATATATGACTAGCTTTTACCCGCGGCTTCGCTCGCGTCACAAAAGGATAAAAGTAACCTATACCAATACACACAGCGCCATCTATACCAATTTTTTTGTTTTCCCTCGAGAATACAAAAATTTTCCAGGATAAACAGTACCCTATTATTTAATCCGGACTTCTAATTTTTCGTCTGCAAAAATTCAAAGCAATCGGTTTAGAAGTTACGGCGTGAAAGCGGAACAAACAAACAAACTCACTTTCCCATTAATAGTAAAGATAACTGACCACAAGTGAATGTGGGTAAGCCTAGAGAGGATGTGAAGTATGAACTTACCATCAGGTCCTGTACGTCTTTCTCTCTAAAGTACAGCTCTTCAGGAAACGTTCTCACCACATCTTGCAGTATCAGAGTTTTCAGCTCATTATCACAGAAATGTTGTTTCCATACGCTCTGGAACAAATTCAATAACATGTTTTATTAACAAGTTGCGATTATCTCCACCCATGGACACCCACAGCACCAGAGGAATAACAAATGAGTTGCCGGTATTTTAGAAAAGAGGGGGTTTTTAAATGTTGATGCGAAGTTAACTTATGTCGGAATACTCAATCGCTATTCAATTCTAAGTTGCGCTTAAGTATAATAAATTTTGTTACTACAAATTCTTTGTAAAATGACGCACGATATTCAAGTACAACTTAAAATTGGTTAGCCTTTCAGTATTCAGGCGATAGGTTCTTAACGATATGAACATGACACTTTATTTAACTAAATTAAGAAAGTGGAACTGCTTAGTACGCACGTGATACAAAGATATAATATATCTCATTTGTTGTAAGGGATTTTTATACACATTTTGTGACGATGTCAATCCCATCGTGCTTTATATAACAAATGTATTTACAACTTATACAAAACAATTTAGTCTACTTTTCTATCTAATATAAAGGATTCTATCAAGGAACCATATAAGAATATCTTATATACTTATCTAATATAATATAATATCTATGTTTTTATGTTGTAGGTGTATTCAAAACATAAAATATGTATTTGCATAATAATGGGGAACTGCGTAATCTAGTACTAATGTAGTGCTAGATAATGTTATAAAGCTAAATGGTTTGTTATCTTATTTGAACGTCGAGTTTCGAATGCTGTATGCATTTGATACGACGATGATTGCATTGTAGATTTGTATTAGAATACTTATTTAAAATGTTAGGAGGGAATTCAAGTAGGGATTTTGTAGTTTACATCATTTCTTTCAAGTTTGGCTACAAGTTTTTTATTCTTGTACGGGACACCTATTTGTGAGATTCACAAATCGTCGTTCCACAACCCTAGTTGTCATTGTCCCCAGGAAGCCATGACACAGTAGTAAAATTTAGAATGGGGCAAAGTTAATGTAATTTAAATATATTTGTTCTTTAATTAGACATAAATTGTTTCTGTTAATACAATTTCATATTTGTACACCGGTAACGGTAGTATGTGTGGTACTTTGTTAATTTTAAGATCTGTGTGCACCATGTACTAAGAAATAAATGACATTCATTCATTAAAAAAAATAGAAACGGAATGGTGAAACTGCGAGTTGAAGTAGCAGATTTTTACGAAACTCGAAACTAACATAAAACAAAGGGACATACGTAGCTTTAATATAATTATTATTATTACTTAGAACTTTAACAAAACAATGAGTATGTATGTGTATGTACGTACAATGGTCGGTAGGTAGGTATATAATATGCATCTGTAGCTATAATTAAAACAAATATTATTTCACCTTGAGTTGTGTATACATGGTTTACTTAATTACATTTGTACAAAGGTTACATAGCGGTTTCAGATTCAGTGCAAATAATGGAGTCATTGACCTGGCTGTTTATTGTTATGGTAGTGGCAAATTGGATATTCAAACCTTATATTTACTTGAATATATTTCTTAGGTAATTTAGGAGTCTTATTTATCGAGTTATAGTAGGTGTGAGTGGTTCGATTTATACTTAGATAATTTAACCGAAATACGAACAGTTATGAGCGAAATTGGGAATAGATACACATTATCTGAATTGAGATAAAATGTTAAATGAAAATCAACTTAAAAATGTTAAATGAAAATCAACTTAAAATAATACTGTTACTGCTTGTTTAACTTACTTCAAATGTAAAATTGAGTGTTGAGTCTTCATTATAATGTTTCATATATGTAGTTTAATTGCACAATTAACTTCATTAATACATTAATTATAATAGAATACTTTTTATAAACAGTAAAATAACAGACAGTATCACAATAGGACGCAACATTAAATTACGCCTATGAATACTGTAACACAATTTAGAATTTAGTCCCTAAATCATAAACTCTTATCTCCATTGTTTGTTTATAATAATTATGGCTATATCACCTCGTCATCCTGTGAGAGAGGGTCATCTCCAATGACTGCCCTTGGGTCCATTGACAGCTTGTCGCTCAAATCATTGTAGTAGTTTCTATGAGATTTTAGACTGAAACAAGAATAAGAAGTAATTTTAACAAACATGAATAAGAAGTGATTTTAACAAACATGAATAAGAAGTGATTTTAACAAACATGAAATAGAAGTAATTTTAACAAACATGAATTAGAAGTTGACTGCGTCGTTGGCCTGTAGATGAATTGGACTGCCTCATTGGCCGAGTGGTTGCAAGTACGACTGCCGAGCAATGGGTCTCGGCTTCGATTTCCAGGTCGCGAAAATTATAATTAGATTTTTAAAAGAAATTTTATATGGCAATAGGCTCTATCCTTTTACATGGAACTCATAACATAAATAATGGAAAGTGGGTGGGACATTGTACATTACGGCACTTAATGTGCAACTCTGTATACCCGTTCGGGGATAAAACGGCTGTGTTATGTTTTTTAATTAGAAGTAATTTTAACAAACATAAAGTTGACTTTGTTAAATGCATTCTGTATACATAGGTAAGTTGTTTGGTATGCATAATAAATATGGATTGGGTACAGAGAAGATTAGTAGGCACACAATTTTGAAAAACCTTATGATTGTCATACAATACTTGTTTTGTTTGATAATATAATGAACTAATTAGTTAACATCTAACGCAAAACAAATATCTTGGAGGTAATAAATGTTAATTCAGAGTTAAGAGATAGTGAAAACATGGTTACTGTCTATTTATCTTCTATGTACTATACTATAATGTACTATACTATACTTCTGTAGAGTGATCAATTCTGTATATGAAATATCAAATTAGGTATATAGATTTAGTTTTAGGCCTAAACTATCGCAATGGACAAAACTGTAATGATAGTTTTAGGTAAAGTTTTAAATAAATAAATAAATTTCCAAAATAACTATTACAGTTACCTACAGTTACTGTACTAAATGCAAATATAAGTTTGTCAAATGTTAGGTTGCCTGCTGAGGACCTTACGCTGCTGTAGGGCCGATAGTCGAAATATGCTTGAACCGCTATTACAAATGTTAAAAAAAAAAATTGCGAGTTTGTGTGTATGTTGGTTACTCAGTTACATCAAAACGACTGAAAGGACTAGGATAAAGTTTGGAACAGAGGTAGGTTACGTTCTGATGTAATACATAGGCTACTTTTTAACCCCGGGCACGCAAGCAAAGCCACTGGCTGAAGATAGTAAGTAGTACCTAATTATTAATTACATGTTTCTTTTCTTTCAATGTAGCACATATTTGATAATTAAGTTCTTAAGTGTGGGAGAGCCATGCTTCGGCACGAATGGGCCGGCTCGACCGGAGTGATACCACGGCCTCGCTGAAAACCGACGTGAAGCAACGCTTGCGTTGTGTTTCGTCGTGTGAGTGAGGTTACCGGAGGCCCAATTACCTTCCCCTTCCCCAATCTCCCCAATCCCTGAATCCCCAACGATCCTCAAACTCCTAATCCCCAAAAAGCCGGTGACGCACTTGTAACGCCTCTGGTGTTCCAGGTGTCCATGGGCGACGCCGATTGCTTACCATCAGGTGATCCGTCTGCTCGTTTACCGGCTTATGCCATAAAAAAATACTTTAAATTAGCCCAAGAAGGGCCAAAAAGATGTTCATGAACTCAACAAACATTGTAATAATGTCCATTCCTTTCTCCTTGGTGTTCAACAACTCATTCATAATTCTCCTATTTATTTGAAAGTCCTTATCTACTATCATTATCAATGTTTATTTTAGAATAGTCATTATTCAACTCTTTATTTAAACTTAGCCTTAATGGAATCTTCCATTTAGGTACGAAGTCAAAGAATGTTAAATATTAAGTATATTATCATATTAAGTTAAAATATTTAGCAACATATTAATATTTAACAACATATATATATAACTAGATTTAACTGCAGAGTCCTCAAGCGGTCATCGGTGAGCGCTCTCCGCCTACCATCATTATAGACCTTATTTCCGATGTTTAGAGACTACTCTTGTATGAGCAAATGTTATGGACTTTTCATAATTGTGGACTAAGAAGTGAAGTATAGTAAGTATATAGATCTGATAGCAACAAAGTACTGATATAATAAACAGTGTATATCCTAGAATGAAGCAGACTAAACCAATTGGGGAAGTACTCTAAGTACCTATATGACTTGTCAAGTAAATTCAAATGTAGAGCATAAAAAGTGAAATCAAGAAAGAAGTTTAGAAAGAGCAGTACAAAAATTATGAAATTACAAATCTATGCAGAATATCCAAAATGTAATTATAATGCCACTTCAGCTGCTTTTTTTTATACCATGACGGTGGCAAAAAAAGCACACGGTCCACCTATGGTAAGTGGGTACTGTGGCCTATGAACGCTTACAACACACGGGGTATTACATGTACCTTGCCGACCCTAAACAAACCTATTTACTCCTTTCTTGAAGAAACCTATTTACCCCATATTGTAGCCCACCAGATTGATGATGATGATGATATGATGATGCATATAAATAAAAATGGATTTCCCTTTGTTAGTCTCGCTAAAACTCGAGAACGACTGAACCAATTTGGCTAATTTTGGTCTAGAAATGTTCCTGGAAGTCCAGGGATAGTTTAAAAGGTGAGAAAAAATGTTTAGACAGTACAAAGTTTGCCAGGTCAGCTAGTTAAAAATAAATATTATATTTCATCTTCTTGTTGTTTTAATATTTAGGTTTAGGTAATGTATGGATGCAACCAAATAACAATGAGTCATTGCAACCTGACGAGTATGACTCAGGACACGCCAGATCAGAATAAACAATGCTTGTTATGAAAGAACATAATGGCTTTTTTTTCCCGCCTGAGTGAGGCGGGAGAGAGTGTCAGACCCTTACTGACTAAAAACCCCCTGTTCCTACTCCTGCACTTAGAGCCGGAGCTCCGGCAACCCGTTAAGTCTTCCGCGACTCCGTATCGGCATTAACCCTGTTGGGCGCATCTGTGGTGGTCTGATGGCTCATTGAGGCGCGCGCGGAAAGGAACATTATGGCTGGATTTTAAAGATTCGATTTAGATTACAGCTACTGGAAAATAGATAGATTTTTTCAACCTTATACTTTAGAATGTTGAAATAAAGAAAACAACTTAGCAACTGATTTCAATTTTTACAAATTGCCTAGATTACAAAACATTTTTTTATGGGACAAACCATGAACATGTAGTCTGTGGTGGCGGTAACTGCACATCAACTACGCATTCACATAAGTAAGCTCAATTCTTTGATTCTGAGATTTCCAAATTACTTGGTGAAAGGGTTTTAAGATATGGCATAGGCAAAATAGCAGACGGATCACCTGATGGTAAGGAATCGGCGCTGCCTATGGACACCTCAAACACCAAGGCTTTACAAGTCTGTTACCGGCCTTTTGGGAATTGAGAATTTGACTACTGTGGAGGATTCGGGGATTGGGTAGACTGGGGAGGGGGGGTAATTGGGATAATAAATATAAATAAACCTTGTTACCTGGATACAATATCCATGTTTGGGGGAGGCAGGGCATTCAGTAAGATGGCCCATGCAAGGCTCCGGGGACGAGGCAGGCGCTGCTGGATAGCTATAGCCTTCAGACTGTTCACACTCCATGCTGGGAGATCCAACCTGTTACACAGTAAAAATAAATTAGTTATCATTCTCCTATTGGTAACAACAAAGTGGCTGGTTGAATTGATGTAATTTCATTTTTTAAAGTATTTTTCAGTTATAAAACAAAGGAGATTTTAGTCTATTTCTTTTTACATGAGAGGTTCATGAATTTTGAGAAATAAAACTTGTATTCGTGCAAGTGCTTGCTGCATGGTTTCTGTACTAAAATATTGACATATAATTTATAGCTTGAACTTTGTCGTTGTTGAATATTCTTAGTAAGAAAATATTGAATAATTTCACCTCAGTTTGATGATTAACTTTTTGTTGTTTGGTAATGATAAAATGAGAAGTCATTTTAGTTATTGAACGTTAACTATAGGCGGATTGTAAACAACATAGATATAAAACTTTTAAGCAGTCACATCATAAGTATATACTGATCTGAAGCCTTGAACAAAGAAAAAAAAAACAACTTTTTGGTGTCAGGTCAAGGAGGCAATAATTCACTTACTGGTAGTCTGTGATTTCAGGAAACTTTTTTGATGGAGAGGTAGGAGAACTATCAGCGCTGTTGTGTTCCTGTGAAACAGTGCTATATGAATATAACTGAAAAATATTTGGCTACAATCACGAGGAAAATTTTAACAAAACTGACCATATTCGTTCACAAAATTCTAATTTTAGGAAAACATTTTCATTTGTTATAAACAAATTAATATTATTGTCAGTTTCTGATAAATAACATAAGGTTGTATGTTTTATTCTAATATGCGAGTTTATCAATGTGATAACAACAGAGATTACACAAAATTGACAACAATGACAACTGGCTGCTGACTGACTGATATCACAGAATCACAGACACACTGTCACACTGCACACAGAGTAAACGTAACGTAACATACGTTTCAACTGTCACTGTGACAATGACGTTTGAAAGGTAAGAAAAATTTTAACTCGATTATCGATAATTTTTGCATTATCAAATGCCGTAGACAATTCTCTGTCTACGTCAAATGCATAAATTCTTATATGCATAGCACAAATTTTAATAAATATTGTGGTAATTCCACTAAAAAAGAAAATTTAATTAGCAGTCTTGTTACAGCGTTCAGTAGAATTTAATGACACTAGAGATAATTTACTTTTATGTAAATAAGTATAACTTACTAATAAATTATAATTATACTAATTTGATCTCTATTTTCCTATTTTTCTTTATTACTAGCTGTCACGACAAACTTTGTAATCCCTAAAAATGCTTTTCACACTTTTTCAAACCTTTCCCGTATTTCCACGAACATTTTAATACCAAAATTAGCCAAACTAGTTTAGCCAAAATTTCATTTTCATATATAAATGTGAAGGTTTTTTAAACAAAAATAAAACAAACTTATCTGCTAGATAAATGTTATAAAATAAACCTGACATAGGTATATTATACGTTGTTATTTTTTTTGTTGTATATCAACTCAAAGTACGTATTATTTGCAATATGCTTATTGCATACATAGTGCATATTTGCACTGTAAAATAATGTAGAAGCATAATATAAAAAAATATTCGTTTTGCTTTGCGTTGCATTGCATCTCGCTTGCGTACAGTGCGCAGCAAAATTGGCGTAACAAAGATCTATGAAGTCTGTGGCGGACTGGCGGATCTATGGATCTTTCTCTTTTTAGTTAGTAGCGCTCTCGCTCTCAAAAAATTGTGAATTTGGTGAAGTGGTGTTTTGTAATAGTTTGAAAAGTATATCTAGAATTGTGACAATCCATATGAGTGATAACTGTTCCTGATTATCGCGCTAAAATGGACTTAAACGCAATAACCGTTAGTGTGTACCTGCGCGGTCTGACATCGCAAGCGCTGGCCTCCCTCAGGTTTCGATGACCATAAGCGTCAGCAGGAATCATGATCGCCAATTTGCCGCTTCTTTTTGCTAATGGCAATCCGACATCCCTGGCGGCGATCACGGTCGCTGAGCTGGAGAAGTTCATAACATTCATGGTGACATGTTCCTGGGGACATGATACAGCGAAAGACATTCGGCGACCACCATGGTGGCCGAAAGAAGTTGCATTTTCGCACCCCTTTGTGAGACCCTACGAGGTGCCTAGGGACTGGTCTCTGAAATTGAGGAATTTAGTTAAAAAATGCTACGAATACCACAAGAGCGCCTTCCTTTTAGTTTTTTCTGCGCAACTCTCGCGGTACCCGCGCAACAGGCTCAGGTATGTTGACAACAAAGACCACACCACTTCTCTGTACTATAGACCCAGTGGCAGACTTCTGGTTACATTCAGAAATGAAAATCTACATTATGACAGAACTTATGCACCCATTACCATTGATGATGATACAACAGAGAGACCTGCAGAAGTATACTTATGTGACAACTGCGATGGCCACTTTGATAGTCTAGACTTATTACAAGCTCATGAAAGGCTATGCAACGCAGCAGATGGAGGTTTTCCTGAGTTTCTTTCAGCCCTGAAACTTCATCCAGCAGGTCAACCATTTGAGAATTCTGTGAATCCTGGTTCCAGTTCTCGTTCTGATACTGGAAATGCCCCAGGAAGGTTTGCTACAAGAAACATAAGAAATACTGCCAAGCAACTTAGAAATAGTGCAAGTGTAGACCGGGGTCCACTGTATCCATTTTCATCACTGGCTTACAGACGGAATGCTAAAACAAGTTGCCAGAGGGATGGGAGGGATTTGACCTTTTCAAGAGAAAGGATAGAAAGATTTTGTTGTACCACAACTCCATTTAGTAAAAATTATAATGTTAAGATAAAAAATCAACAGTTTCCTGTGAGATACCGAAGACCGTTAAGCTATTGGAATAGAAAATATGTTTTTCCCAATCAAAGAAATAAAGGAATACTCGATATTAAAGGCCAACTGCTCCTTTTGAAGTGTAAACCGATGTCAGTAAAATTAATTAAAATGTCAGACGAATGCATACAGGAATATCTCGACAACTTGAGAAAAGAAAGAGAGAGTAAGCAACAGACAATGGAAGATAAGGACATTGTATTTGTGGATGGACTTGACTGTGATCAGCCAACTGATTCAGAAGTGATGATGGATCCATTGAAGCGATTGGACAATGTTTGTGAAGTGATTGACTTGTGTTCAGATGATGAGACACCTAGTGTGAATGAGAACTGTGATCCACGTGCAGGGGTGACTTGTGTGATGCGCGGTGGGGCTGTGCTGCGGCGTACCGCAGCGACTCCGCAGGCACTGCCCGCCGAGCCATGTGGTGCTCGCCAGCGCCCTCTACCCGCCGCCGTACTGCAACCACACCCCGTTATTCTCATTGCGCATACACACGCTCTGAACAATTTACAGACTATCTCCATAGATTGAATTTCCATGTAATATATTAGTTTTATCTTTAGAAAATTTGCTAATTATTATTTATTATTCTTCATGATTAAACTAAATATCAATATCAAAGAAATTTTATTTCTTGTCACTATTGTCACTTTTATCGCCGCCATTTTGTGGAGTCTATGCTGTCATGCTGACAAAATGGCGGACGACTAACAAAACAAATGACGACTTGATAAAAATACGTAAACAAAAATGTATCAAGTGTATAGTGTAAAATCATGGAATATTTAGGAAAATATTGTGAGTATAAATGTTGTCAATATTTTATAACACCATTGTGGTCCTCATGCGTTTGCGCATCTCTTAGAATTTGGTATTTTGGTTAAGTAACAATATAAGTAAGTACATTTTGTAAAACAAGGATCATAATTATCTTTAGATGGCGAGTTTGCCCGTACACGTAAATGTGAATAATATCATTGTTGACTATTTCCTCTTATGAGTCTAGCTTTATAAATTTAGCTGGATCTTCCTACTCATGTTACGTTTATTTAGAAAGGACCGAATGTTCCAAATAAATCTTCTGAATGTGCACAAAAATGAGTAGTGTTTTGGAATACATATCAATTTAAAGAATATTTAATAGTTATTTACATTGAACATCTAATGAAGCGTTCACATCTGGCGAATGCATAGATCGAGATATCACGAACTTCGCGCGGGTGGCGTAGTATACAAAGTGCTAGCGAGCGGTACATTTGTCGGATGTGAATGCGCCATAAGAGAGCTAGTAGCGTACCATGGTACCCCAGAACTCACTCATTTTTGAGCAGGTTGGAAATGTGATGAAATTGAAGGCGGAGACTAAAACGCGTTGGTATTGTGTTCAAGCTAATGAAAATCATGACTAGGTCCGAATTTTTTTCTTAGTTTGTTATTCAGAAAAAAGAATAAATTCTTTTGTTTATCACCGTTTTTGGCTAATGCGAATTTATCGACTAACATTTGCAGCATGTTTATATTTATTTTAAAATCACTTGAACATGGCGCTGTTTTTCATGTAAATAAATAATAGTAATGTTAAAGTTTTAGGATCATGGATCTCGTAACTTCTATATAACTTTGTAGCATTAGTCAAGAATTTGAAATTTTTAAACCATTTTGGAGTTACATTACAAATACAGTTTTGTAGATACCAATAATGGCGTTCAAATAATTCCATAATATGTAATAAATATAGCACTTGATTCAACCAATTGTAAAGTCTCTCGTTTTTATTAACTAATACTCATGACTGAATTTCCTGATGGTGCAATGCTATCAAAATGTATGTTTGTATAGTAAGCATTGATCCAGATAGTTAGTTTCGTAAAATGAAGAAAAATTATGCTAGATAATGCATGCATGTTGTGTCAATGTACATATTATACCTATTTCCATTGTATTTGATTTTGACTGTCGATTTAAAAACTGTTTGTTACTGTAAATACATAATTATATAATTTGATTTAGTCGCGTACTAAGTCAAATGAACTGAAATATTGTATTTTTTTATACATATACATAAATCTTTATATTATTATTCAAAGTCAAACTCGAAAATGGTTAAAAGATTAACGAATTCACAAATGTATGTTGTGAACCGGTGTGGTGATATCTTTCTATCATTCGGACTTTGGTAATTTAACGATGACGACATCATGCCGTGCGTGTAGCATCCTCTTTTTGTTCATTGACGACTCCTTCCATCAGACTTAACTATTAAAAATATTTCTTAGTTTAGATTTTGAATAACATGCATGTTTTGTGCTTCCTCACTGTAACAACTAATTTCTCGATTCTTTGAAATGAGAAAATCAGCTAGGTATTTCGTCGGATATCGGTACAAACCAAAACTGAATTGATCCGAATTGTCATCATGGTGCGGCGCTAGGGTAATTGGGATGCCGTCGTTTCCTGCGAAGTATTCATGTTAGCTCCAGGAGGAGGCGAGTCGCGTGAGGGAAGTCCGCCGGAAACACTCCGGGCGTCAGGAATACCGCGACAATCTCTAGCCAAGTGGCCACCGTAACCACGGGTCTTCGGACGGCGAGGTTAACTTGCCGCCCGGTCAGGACCAGACCCGAGCGTTCCGCCCCTAAGAGCCGTCAGACCACAGATGGGGCTAAGTATTAAGTTATATTTACGTTCGAGACGTTACCGCGTTTAACCCTCTGATTAGGTGGTTAACTTGGAGCAGCCCATCAGAGCGCCGAACATCTCGATCGCATTAACATAAAACAAACTCGCATTCCGTTGTGATTATGTACGCTAGGTATAAAAAGGTTCTTTAAAAAGCTTAAACTTATGAGTACATACATATATGGAACCTCTTGGTAATGGTTTCAACGCGTTTCAGTACTTCGCTTAAAGGTGGATGGATCGATTAATGGATAAAACCGGTAGATATGGCTCTACCGGTATGGTACTGATAGCATTTCCAACCACTAAACATAACCAGAAGCCAGGATCTACAGTAAAGACTAACCAAAAAATAATGTAAACTGTTTGAAACCCAAACAAAATGGATGTCTCGAAGAAACCCGATTCGTCTTTGTGGCCTTTGTGAATTAGTTTGGACATTCTTAAAGTTACGTAATGTGCTTCGGTCTTCGGTTAAGAGGAATATGCTAGGTCGTTCCAGGAGTTGCGTAAATGACCATAGTACCTACCTAGTTACCTACTTAGAAGAGTAGTTAGGGCTTCGGTGGACTTATCGTTTAACGATAACTACCAGACTACCTTTGTTCTTTACGTCAGACTTCCTGTGCCGTAATGTGATGGCACACAAACTACAGACAGGTCTATAAACAGTATTCTACAGAATACTGTTCAATCTGTTCATCTGTTCATTACGTTTGAAAATACTGGACCAGATCTAGTCTAACTTTAGTCTAACTTTGGCTAGATCTAGTCTAACTTTACCAAATTTGCAAGGGTTGAGACTCCACGACTCGATTGTCGCAAAACTACATTTTTGGAGTCGGTTTTAAGGTTAATGACAGTAAACTGAGAATTCTATAACAACCAGGAATGTACAATCAGTTTTGAGTTGTTGTTTTCCTCTCAGAAAAACCTAGTAATACTTCATTTGACCATGACATCTCGTTAGCTGCACTGGTTTGCGCAACCACAAACCCACCGCAACTGTCTCCTCAGATTAAATTATCAAACTGAATAACGTGCATATCAGAAGTTCGGAAGTCAATAACTACTATCAACTAAACGTATAGCTGACACCGACTTTTATTAATACTATATTTTTAAATTTTGTGGCTTAGTATGGTCATTCATTTTTTATATCATACCTACGTTTCAATCCCTGAAAGATCAGTTAAAAATGACCTATAGTTCTATAGTAAAATACTTGAAAGGTAGGTACTTAGTTAGGGGTTTAGCCGTACTTAACTATTGAGAATCAAAAACCCAGCGGTAAGCTCTACTAAACTGTACCTAGCCAAATTTCTCAACTTCAATCCATAATACCATGATAGTAGACCAACTAGTTTTCTTTTTCTTTTATGGACTATTATTATAAACAGTGATTTGGAAAGAAACCACGCTATTTAAACCCTTTACGTAAATACTTTTTCCTAGCATAGCAACAGCTATTATATTGCAAATTGCCGAGATTACTTAGTAAGTAACTTAATTCTCAGTAACACTACGCTGGATACGCTACAACCAGGAACTCGGGTCGTTGACTCCGTGCGCTGCAGTTCGCGAAGCTGCCTCCATGACTAATATACAACGTGAATTGACGCAGAGTGAATGAATAAATAACAATTTATTGTTGCCCTAGAATTCTCATTTTAATCACTTATAGGGGCAGTTTTATTTTCCCGTTTATCAAAGACCTACATCACGTATCTTTGGATACGTCACCTCACAACCGACTATGCTGAGATATGAATTATACTAAACGACTTTGAATATACCACACATTATTTTTGAATGGAGATAGTTACCTATTAATATTTTTGTAGATAACACATAGTCGATAGATATGTGTAGGTATAGAATTTTGATGAACGGATAAGAGGAATAAGTAAGAATTACTTATTCTGTTTGGCTTTTTACTGAACAAAACACGTTCCCAGGAGATCCAATAAATGGACCATATTACTTATAGTATGCGCATTGTATTATTTATTGTATCAATCAGTGATCGTTGTTTACGACATCTACTAGAGCTACATGCTGTACCTACGGTAGCTAGTAAACTACATATAGGTTTATCATCCCGCTAATTGATGCCCTTTTCAGTGAGGTCAATTTGTAAATGACCATTTACATCCATTAGTATGTTGGTATCTACTGACTTACCTACGTAAGTAGGTACAATGTAAGTTGTACGTTATTAGTCGTTAACCTTAGTAGGTAGGTGCTAACAGGAACTATTTATTAATTAAAATATATGTAAAACAACAGGCATAACGGAGGAAATTGAGACGTTATTTCATAGTTAAAATGAAACAACTTGCATCTAATTAGTTTTAGAATTTTATAACAAGAAAAAATTACATTTAGGTACGGAAAATATTATTTTAAGTTAATTATTTCATATTCATAGATCTTCGTCAGTAGTAATCCTATGGTGAGAGTTGAGTGGACGTCTGCTCTCCTCGTCCGATACACATCAATTTAAAGAATATTTAATAGTTATTTACATTGAACATCTAATGAAGCGTTCACATCTGGCGAATGCATAGATCGAGATATCACGAACTTCGCGCGGGTGGCGTAGTATACAAAGTGCTAGCGAGCGGTACATTTGTCGGATGTGAATGCGCCATAAGAGAGCTAGTAGCGTACCATGGTACCCCAGAACTCACTCATTTTTGAGCAGGTTGGAAATGTGATGAAATTGAAGGCGGAGACTAAAACGCGTTGGTATTGTGTTCAAGCTAATGAAAATCATGACTAGGTCCGAATTTTTTTCTTAGTTTGTTATTCAGAAAAAAGAATAAATTCTTTTGTTTATCACCGTTTTTGGCTAATGCGAATTTATCGACTAACATTTGCAGCATGTTTATATTTATTTTAAAATCACTTGAACATGGCGCTGTTTTTCATGTAAATAAATAATAGTAATGTTAAAGTTTTAGGATCATGGATCTCGTAACTTCTATATAACTTTGTAGCATTAGTCAAGAATTTGAAATTTTTAAACCATTTTGGAGTTACATTACAAATACAGTTTTGTAGATACCAATAATGGCGTTCAAATAATTCCATAATATGTAATAAATATAGCACTTGATTCAACCAATTGTAAAGTCTCTCGTTTTTATTAACTAATACTCATGACTGAATTTCCTGATGGTGCAATGCTATCAAAATGTATGTTTGTATAGTAAGCATTGATCCAGATAGTTAGTTTCGTAAAATGAAGAAAAATTATGCTAGATAATGCATGCATGTTGTGTCAATGTACATATTATACCTATTTCCATTGTATTTGATTTTGACTGTCGATTTAAAAACTGTTTGTTACTGTAAATACATAATTATATAATTTGATTTAGTCGCGTACTAAGTCAAATGAACTGAAATATTGTATTTTTTATACATATACATAAATCTTTATATTATTATTCAAAGTCAAACTCGAAAATGGTTAAAAGATTAACGAATTCACAAATGTATGTTGTGAACCGGTGTGGTGATATCTTTCTATCATTCGGACTTTGGTAATTTAACGATGACGACATCATGCCGTGCGTGTAGCATCCTCTTTTTGTTCATTGACGACTCCTTCCATCAGACTTAACTATTAAAAATATTTCTTAGTTTAGATTTTGAATAACATGCATGTTTTGTGCTTCCTCACTGTAACAACTAATTTCTCGATTCTTTGAAATGAGAAAATCAGCTAGGTATTTCGTCGGATATCGGTACAAACCAAAACTGAATTGATCCGAATTGTCATCATGGTGCGGCGCTAGGGTAATTGGGATGCCGTCGTTTCCTGCGAAGTATTCATGTTAGCTCCAGGAGGAGGCGAGTCGCGTGAGGGAAGTCCGCCGGAAACACTCCGGGCGTCAGGAATACCGCGACAATCTCTAGCCAAGTGGCCACCGTAACCACGGGTCTTCGGACGGCGAGGTTAACTTGCCGCCCGGTCAGGACCAGACCCGAGCGTTCCGCCCCTAAGAGCCGTCAGACCACAGATGGGGCTAAGTATTAAGTTATATTACGTTCGAGACGTTACCGCGTTTAACCCTCTGATTAGGTGGTTAACTTGGAGCAGCCCATCAGAGCGCCGAACATCTCGATCGCATTAACATAAAACAAACTCGCATTCCGTTGTGATTATGTACGCTAGGTATAAAAAGGTTCTTTAAAAAGCTTAAACTTATGAGTACATACATATATGGAACCTCTTGGTAATGGTTTCAACGCGTTTCAGTACTTCGCTTAAAGGTGGATGGATCGATTAATGGATAAAACCGGTAGATATGGCTCTACCGGTATGGTACTGATAGCATTTCCAACCACTAAACATAACCAGAAGCCAGGATCTACAGTAAAGACTAACCAAAAAATAATGTAAACTGTTTGAAACCCAAACAAAATGGATGTCTCGAAGAAACCCGATTCGTCTTTGTGGCCTTTGTGAATTAGTTTTGGACATTCTTAAAGTTACGTAATGTGCTTCGGTCTTCGGTTAAGAGGAATATGCTAGGTCGTTCCAGGAGTTGCGTAAATGACCATAGTACCTACCTAGTTACCTACTTAGAAAGAGTAGTTAGGGCTTCGGTGGACTTATCGTTTAACGATAACTACCAGACTACCTTTGTTCTTTACGTCAGACTTCCTGTGCCGTAATGTGATGGCACACAAACTACAGACAGGTCTATAAACAGTATTCTACAGAATACTGTTCAATCTGTTCATCTGTTCATTACGTTTGAAAATACTGGACCAGATCTAGTCTAACTTTAGTCTAACTTTGGCTAGATCTAGTCTAACTTTACCAAATTTGCAAGGGTTGAGACTCCACGACTCGATTGTCGCAAAACTACATTTTTGGAGTCGGTTTTAAGGTTAATGACAGTAAACTGAGAATTCTATAACAACCAGGAATGTACAATCAGTTTTGAGTTGTTGTTTTCCTCTCAGAAAAACCTAGTAATACTTCATTTGACCATGACATCTCGTTAGCTGCACTGGTTTGCGCAACCACAAACCCACCGCAACTGTCTCCTCAGATTAAATTATCAAACTGAATAACGTGCATATCAGAAGTTCGGAAGTCAATAACTACTATCAACTAAACGTATAGCTGACACCGACTTTTATTAATACAATATATTTTTAAATTTTGTGGCTTAGTATGGTCATTCATTTTTTATATCATACCTACGTTTCAATCCCTGAAAGATCAGTTAAAAATGACCTATAGTTCTATAGTAAAATACTTGAAAGGTAGGTACTTAGTTAGGGGGTTTAGCCGTACTTAACTATTGAGAATCAAAAACCCAGCGGTAAGCTCTACTAAACTGTACCTAGCCAAATTTCTCAACTTCAATCCATAATACCATGATAGTAGACCAACTAGTTTTCTTTTTCTTTTATGGACTATTATTATAAACAGTGATTTGGAAAGAAACCACGCTATTTAAACCCTTTACGTAAATACTTTTTCCTAGCATAGCAACAGCTATTATATTGCAAATTGCCGAGATTACTTAGTAAGTAACTTAATTCTCAGTAACACTACGCTGGATACGCTACAACCAGGAACTCGGGTCGTTGACTCCGTGCGCTGCAGTTCGCGAAGCCTGCCTCCATGACTAATATACAACGTGAATTGACGCAGAGTGAATGAATAAATAACAATTTATTGTTGCCCTAGAATTCTCATTTTAATCACTTATAGGGGCAGTTTTATTTTCCCGTTTATCAAAGACCTACATCACGTATCTTTGGATACGTCACCTCACAACCGACTATGCTGAGATATGAATTATACTAAACGACTTTGAATATACCACACATTATTTTTGAATGGAGATAGTTACCTATCTTAATATTTTTGTAGATAACACATAGTCGATAGATATGTGTAGGTATAGAATTTTGATGAACGGATAAGAGGAATAAGTAAGAATTACTTATGATTCTGTTTGGCTTTTTACTGAACAAAACACGTTCCCAGGAGATCCAATAAATGGACCATATTACTTATAGTATGCGCATTGTATTATTTATTGTATCAATCAGTGATCGTTGTTTACGACATCTACTAGAGCTACATGCTGTACCTACGGTAGCTAGTAAACTACATATAGGTTTATCATCCCGCTAATTGATGCCCTTTTCAGTGAGGTCAATTTGTAAATGACCATTTACATCCATTAGTATGTTGGTATCTACTGACTTACCTACGTAAGTAGGTACAATGTAAGTTGTACGTTATTAGTCGTTAACCTTAGTAGGTAGGTGCTAACAGGAACTATTTATTAATTAAAATATATGTAAAACAACAGGCATAACGGAGGAAATTGAGACGTTATTTCATAGTTAAAATGAAACAACTTGCATCTAATTAGTTTTAGAATTTTATAACAAGAAAAAATTACATTTAGGTACGGAAAATATTATTTTAAGTTAATTATTTCATATTCATAGATCTTCGTCAGTAGTAATCCTATGGTGAGAGTTGAGTGGACGTCTGCTCTCCTCGTCCGATCCATAGATAACCTCTTCGTCTGAATCGTTGATCATAGAGAAAGCGGGGTTGTCTTTGGTTATGGCCGTTTCTGAAACATAATGGTGGAATGCTGTTGCAAAATGTTCTTTTTTCAACACTAATTCTTAGTAAAATGTTCTAAGATTGTATTTTGGATAAAAGTCAGACAATTTTCTCTATACCTACCTACCTACCTGTAGTGTGTTTGGGTATCAGTTTCCAATATTTCACCCACGTACCTACATAGGTATTGTACTTAAAATCTCATCGACAAAAAACCCCGAGATATGTCGTACTTTCACCCCTCTGAATGAGGCAAAAAGGAAAAATAGCCCACCTACTCTTTGCATTAAAAATAATCTATAAAGATGAACTTACCATGGATAGACCCACCACCAGGCGAGAACAAATAGGCCAGTATGTAAATATAAAAGTTGAATAATCCGTAGAGGGCCATGAATGGTGCAGATGTGTCGAAGTGTATTTTCGGCTGACAAGCCCAGTGGTCCTGCAGGGCGGCTGGGCCCCATCCTTGTAGAGCCAGCACCGTTATAATGGACGTCACCGTACCCACTACTATGGACAAGCACCTAAGTCGGATATCTGGAATAAATTATAATCAATCGTCAAGTCGAAGGAACAAGGAACTGGCTTTATTATGTGGGAACGTTGGCAGACCGTATGAGGTATTGATTTATCAAAAGAAATAATGTGTAGTTAGTCAACAGTTGTTTTGTCATAGAACAAGTCACTGGTGTTCACAAAGACAGCATTTGAGGAAACGAAGAATCAAGTTAGACAATATTTTAAAATTTTTCCTCAATCGGCCGTAGATGTAGGGTAATGGGGTAGATGCCTAATTTTTATTTTAATGTCCGTTTGGTAGATTTTTTAAATCATTTTTTTTGAGACTTATTTTTTGTTTTCTTACAGAAACGAATACTTTTGACGATATATTGATTTGAAATGTCGCGTGACGTCACTTCTATATACATTTTATACTTAGAAATGTCGTTTTACCCCCTACTACTAAACGTTGATTCGTTTTATCTAAGTATTTGACTTTCGTTGGTAGTGGTGAAGGTTACGCACGTGCTTTTATTGGTACTACGATTGTTGTCAATTTTAGTGATCTTTTTCATAGTGAACTAAATTGAAATCATTTAATTTTGTGCTGTGTAATTGTGTGTGTAAGTTTTATTAAGGTGTAGTAGTCTTAAGTTTTGTTTCCCCTTCCCACCTTTTTTACTCCTATACCTAACAATGGATGAAGAGAAGCCTCCTGACCCTCCCGACAAATCTCCAGAGTACAATCCCATTTTATGCGTCACGCTCCCCCATGACAACCAGGATCTTGAATCAATGGATTCCGAAAGCAATGCTAACAGGAAACGACCTGCTGGTTCTCCCATTCTATCCCGTATCAATCCTCCGAAGCTAGCGAAAGTATTAATGGTAGGCAGTGCTATACGGCTAGAGACAACCCTCCCTATATTGTCCATGTTTCTCTTAAAGACTCCCAGACGAGTGGCACTACTCTCCACCCAATCAAATTCGGGATGTTCTTGACAAAGAATAACATCAACAATATTAAAATTGGAGGAGTGAAGCGACTCGGTAGAAACAGAGTGTCGGTTGAGTTTGTGTCTCACCAGGATGCGAATAGCTTCCTTATTAACTGCGTGGTAGCACAAAATTATATTACCTCAATCCCTCAGTTCAACATAACTAGAATGGGCATTGTGAGGGATGTTCCCATTGAATGGTCAGAGGAGGAAATTATTAGGAACATTAAGGTTCCCGCTGGGTGTGGGATTGCAATTAAAGCAAGACGGATGAACCGTAGAGTTTCATCAGACAATGGTACGGAATGGAAGCCTACCCAAACTGTGGTTCTCACTTTCGATGGGCAAATTTTACCAAAGAAAGTTTTTTGTTTTTATTCTGCTCTCCCTGTAGAATTGTATACATACCCTACAATACAGTGTTACAACTGTTGTCGCTTTGGGCACACCCGCACGTTGTGCCGCTCCAAACCGCGTTGCTTCAGATGTGGTCAGGATCATCCTGGCGATGGCTGCCTAGTGACGGAAGAAGTTGCACGTTGCATAAATTGCAATGGCAATCATTATGCCAATAACAGCTCCTGTCCTGAGTTAGGACGCCAGAAAAGTATTAAGGCCTTAATGGCTGAAAAAGCGATTTCCTATGCGGAAGCAAGCCATGTGTTTCCTGCGGTCAAAAAATCTTATGCCGAGGTTTCTAAATCCAAGTCTATCAATTACATTCAATCAACACCAAATAAAAAACCATCCCCACAAAGACAGTCTTACAAAAAAACAGTTTTTGTCAAACCCAAATCCCATGCTCCTCTTTCTCCCGGCTATGATAAGAAGGCCCATCAGGCCCTTATCCATGATTACTCTTTTTCTCCATCCCAGAATGGTTGCGCTTTCCCTGTGGAATCCGGAACCAACACTCGTAGCTCTAACATTTTAGATGTAATTTCCAGCATGCTCATGGCAGTGTTATCTAACCCTAATCAAAATGTACCTGACCACGTCGCCCATAGATTAGCTACTATCCTAGACTACATATATAAAATTCCACCCACTTACAATTCTTCAGTGGAACGTGAGGAGTACTCTTCCCAGGAAGAGTGACCTGATACATTTAGTTAATAAATTCAAACCATCGATTTGTGGACTTGCTGAGACATGGCTCCGACCGAATATCAATTTCGGGATCCCGTGCTTCAGCATTGTCAGACAGGACAGATCTGATGGTTATGGAGGTTGTGCTTTGTTAGTTAACAACAAAGTACCCTTCACCCAGATTCCTTTACCCTTCGTCGGCGATGACATAAATGTTGTCGCTGTTAAGGCTGAGGATATAAATTTTTTTATGTTTTATATTGCGCACCCTCTTGTTACTCATTTGGCTTTAATTAAAAATTTATTAATGTCAGTCAGTGGTCCATTATTCGTAATGGGTGACTTCAACTGTCATCATTATAGATGGGGTTCGGATTTATGCGACAACATAGGCAGCAAGTTCGTTGAAATGATGGATGAGCTCAACCTATGTAATATTAATGACGGCAGCCCGACCCGTAGATCTGCATTTGGACAAAGAAGCAGTTGTGTGGACTTAACCTTCTGCTCATCTAATATGGCAAGCATGCTGAACTGGAGCTGTTTGAATATGACTTATGGTAGCGATCACTATCCCATCATAATCAAAAATCCTTCCAAATCCACTCCTGATAAATCCCTCCCCCCTCTATTAAAATATCGATTAGAAAAAGCAGATTGGGACCTGTATTCAAAATTATTAGACTTCCGCATTTCTTCTCTCCCACCCATTGATAACCAGAATGCTTTGGAGTGTTTTTCAAAGTTTTCTGAGTTGATAGCTTCCACAGCTGAAGATTGCTTCCCAGTGAAAAGCACACCAAAAGGCAAAATCCCTTCCCCTCCTTGGTGGGATAGTGAATGTACTGCCATGATAAGAGCCAGGAATGAGGCTGAAAAGGCATATAACCACGACATGAGCCTGGAAAATCTCCTTAATTTCAAGCAGATATTGGCTAGGTCAAGAAAACTGTTTAAAAAGAAGAAGAGACAGGGGTGGCAGAGATTCTGTGGTTCCCTAAGCCCGTCCACGCCGGTGGCAACAGTGTGGCGGAGAGTGAAGAGCTTCAGAAATTCTTCGAAGCCTCCTTCAATTTCCATTTTGCCTGAAGGTCTGAGCCACAATTTCTTCACCAACATTGCTCCACTGTATGTCCCTGGCGAGGATGAATGTTGTCCGGGTCAACATGAGGATTCACGAGACCCACTCGATAAAAATTTCACCATCGATGAGCTCCAAATGGTCCTTAATCATGTAAAGGATTCCGCACCAGGCATTGATGGGTTTCCTTACTCCTTCTTGGTTAAAGCAGGAGCCAAAACCAAGCAGTACTACCTTGACTTAGTCAATTTCTGTTTTACTTTCGGCTATATTCTCCTATCTGGAAGGTTCAGGTTATCATGCCGCTGTTAAAAGCTGGCAAGGATCCTGGTGACCATTCGTCTTACAGACCTATTGCCCTATCGTCCATACTTATCAAAATCCTTGAACACCTAATAAAGACCCGGTTGGAATGGTCGATGGAAAGCCGGGGGCTGTTCCCGGCGGCTCAGTTCGGCTTCAGGAAAGGTCTGGGTACGGCTGATAGTGTGGGTACCCTCACGTCAGCCATCCGACTGGCCCTTAGCAGGAATGAGTCGTTGGTGGCGGTCTTTCTGGACGTCTCGTCGGCCTATGACTCTGTCCTCCTACCCCTTCTCAGGCAGAAATTGCAGGAGCTGAGAATCCCGAGTAGGATTTGCCAAATTATAGGCTGCATCCTTTCCAACCGTACCCTTCAACTGAGAACTCCTGAGGATAACCCTACACAGAGAACCGCCTGGAGGGGTTTACCTCAGGGGTCAGTCCTTAGTCCCATCCTATATAATATCTATACCCACGACCTCCCTTCTTGTCTAAATTATGATTGCAAAGTCCTCCAGTATGCTGACGATATCGCATTAATGGTCACTAGCTGCTCTATAACAGACGCTACCGCCTCCATGAATGTCTCTTTGACCTCATTATACCAATGGCTTCTTAATCATGGGTTATCTTTAAGCGCCCCAAAAAGCTCAGCTGTCATCTTTTCACGCAGACGGCGCCTTCCGGACACTCTTATAGAGATAGACGGCCAACCTATTCCAGTTGGGAGGAAGGCTAGGTTCCTGGGCGTTATCCTCGATTCTAGGATGTCGGGGGTTGATCATGTGGAAACAGTAGTTAGAAGGTGCGAACGGTCAGTATGTGTACTCAGAGCATTAGCTGGGGTATGGTGGGGTGCTCACCCCTACACATTAAAGCTCATATATAATGCGTTGGTCAGAAGTGTGATAGACTATTGCTGCTTCCTTATGGCACCTTGCAATAAGGAAGCACTTAAAAAGCTAGATTCCATTCAGGCCAAATGCCTAAGAATAATTATTGGAGCTATGAAGTCATCCCCCATAAACGCTCTCCAGGTTGAATGTGCAGAACCCCCCTTTGACCTTCGAAGACAATACCTGGCAGATCGTTTCGTTTCTAAAGTCCTTACCCGCTCTTCTCATCCCCTCCTTCCTATCCTTGAGCAAATCCACAGTTCTTATGACTCCTCTCCATATTGGAATAATAAACCTGTCCCACCTGTGATTGCTAGGTATAGGGAGCTTAAAAACCTCTCTGCACCTATCAGTCAATTCCCTATTCTCCCGGTTTTTTCTTCCGCATACGAGGTCATTCACTTTAGGCCAAAGCTAGTTCTGGGGTTGGGCATTTCAAAGACATCAGTGGACGCTAAAGGTGATTTTGAACGCGCGCTGAGCAATTACTGGAACGGCTGGAATGTGTTTTACACGGACGCATCCAAATTGACCCGAAACGGATGCACAGGAGTGGCAACATATTACCAGAACTCAAGAATTGCTCTGCTCTCCAAGTGTCCCCCTGAAGCCTCTGTCTTCACTGGGGAATGTGTCGGCATTCTGGAGTCCATTAAATTCATTGAATCGCACAACCTCAGAAACTCAGTTATTTTCTCAGACTCTCTAAGTAGTTTACAAGCGCTCGGTCAAGACCAGCTTTATTCCCGGACTCATAGTAGTCTGATAATACAGATAAAATCTTTACTTTTCTCCTGCCAAAACGACGGACTAAATATCGAGATCGCCTGGATCCCTGGCCACTCTGGTATATGCGGTAACGAGTGTGCTGACAGATTGGCAAAGTTTGCGGCCGTGAATAATGTTGAACGTCACCACTACATTGTGTATGGGTATGACATACGCGCGGATACCAAACTCAAGCTTTTCGACTCGTGGGCTGCAGTGTGGGTGGACTCCTCCAAGCGTAAAGGAGCTTACTTTGCAAGTATCCAGCCCGACATCCGGCGGAAACCTTGGTTTTCCAAGTATAAGAAGCTTCCCAGACAAACTATTTCGTCCTTGTGCAGACTCAGACTCGGCCACTGTACTAGTCCGGTATTCCTTGCCAAGATCCGTGTACGTGACAACTCGCTGTGCGAATGTGGTCTCGATGAGGGAACCCTAGACCACATATTTTTCTCTTGCCCTCTAAATTCCCAATCCTTCGATTTATATGGAAACCTTCCCAAAATCCAAATCCCTCTTCCAATCAACTTCCACTCCCTCCTAACAAATTTTTCTCCCAAATTAATTAAGTGCTTGTCCAAATTTATTAAAGAAAATTGTATTAAAATATAACGGTGTGTATTTATGTAAATATTGCGTGTTATGATTGTTTCTATTTAATTATTTATCTGGTGTTAGGTAATAATATTATAATTTTAGGTCTATTGACGGTATATGTTTACTAACCCAATTGTTTTTGTCTCTTCCAGTTACTAACAACTACCAGAAAGTTAAAGTTCGACGGTGCATTAACTGCCGTCACCACTCGACACTGGCAGTATAGTCGACAACATCGTAGTGGAGACTCAGTTGCCAAAGACGAAAAAAAAAAAAAAAAAATCTAAGTATTTTTTTTATTATACGACAAAATAAAATATACGTGTCTAATATTTTTTCATTACCTGACTGATGGACTAATTAGATTTTTAATTTTCATACCCTGTCACCATCCCGATTATTTTACGATTATAAGTAAAATTAATTAATGAAGTGTGCAAAAAATACTTAAGTATTAAACATTTGTTATAGTGCTGTACGTTTAACTTTCTGCTTTATCGGGCTTACGAATCAAAACAACCTTAAACTGATAACTGACTTCATACCGTCATACGTCCAGCAAGCGGCGCCAGCGCAGGTGCGCGTGTACTACGCCATAATACACAATAGGTACCTTTTGTTTTCTTTTTAAGACCATAATAATGATTAGGTAAAGGCGTGAAATGTCCGAAAACAGTTTTAATTTAGAATGTGGCGAATTGCAACCGCTCAAAGTACCCCATGTAAAATATTGACGTTCAGTCGAGTCCAAATAGGACCTATGTAGATAAAGCTCACTTCAAAAATAAATTGGACAACACTTACCGAAAAATGGCATGTTTCTCAAATCGCTATATGCTTTGATGATCAATATTAATAAGTATAAGAAGTATATCGTGATTGCACAGAAGAACCATAGCTTGACGAGCTGCAAAAAAAAAGAATACCATTGTCAAGGAGTTTAAAAAAAACAATAGTATCCACAGCTGCTGCGTTCCAACTACATTATTTTTTTTATTGACTTGGTAAATAGGAGAGGGCGAAGTGTAGAAAGGACAATATAGACAATGCAAGTAGTTCAGATGCTGGTAGCTTCTCATGTCCAGGAATATAGGACCTTTTTAGTGATCTGTCTGCTTTTTTACTTTTTATGTCAGTACCATAACACACATTTCACTCATTCTTTTTATAATTACATCTCAAATTAAGTACTTTGTTCTTTTCTAATCCTTCTAGCACTAGGCACTTAAAGAACCTACTGAATAATGACTTGAATGATTATTAGGTGAGTACTTACGGGATAGTCTGGATCCATCATGTAGTTAAAAGTGGGATCTAGATAGCTGCTGAACTTCTGCCAGTTACCGAGCATGAAGGCAGGTATAACACAGAGCCCCACGAGTACGAATTTGAACAAATAGAAGGATACGATACCTCGGTCGTTCTGTAACAAAGGGAGACGTTATGAGACACCGGTTAGTAGGTAGGAATAATAGGAATAGGAATAGTAGGCAATTTTTCACATAGGAAAGTAGTATAAAGATTGGTTAGTGAGCAAAAGTGATAGGTAAAGATGTTCTGGCTGCTATTTTCAAAGAGATCGTTGACAATAATACCTAGGTAGCTTCAGGTTTGATATTTAGAACAAAGGTTGGCTTTTATTCTAATTGGAACTTTCATCATCATCATCATCATCAACAGCCTATAAATGCCCACTGCTGAGCAAAGCCTCTTCTCACACGGAGAAGGTTAGAGCATTAATCACCACGCTTGCTCAATGCGGTTTGGCGATTTCAAACTTATAATTAGAAATTATAAGTTCAGGATTCCTCACGACGTTTTCCTTCACCGTTTGCCAGTGGTGTCTAAATAATCTTAGAAAGTACATATAACTCGGAAAAAGTCACATTGGTACTTGCCGTTGGTAGGTTTCGAACCCGCACCCTCATGCATGAGAAGTGGGCGTCTTAAACCTCCGGGCCACCACGACTGGATTGGAACGACGATTGGACGATTGGAACTTTACCCATACCAAAAATACATGATTTTCTCTACATACCTGCCTAAGTCCATGGTACTGTGACAACCACGAGAGCATAACAGCTGCTAAGAATGTGGTCTGGAAGAAATTACCAATCAGAGGTGCCATGATGGCTCCCGGGAAAAACCTCAAAGGATACAAGGGATCTGCAAAAAAAAGAGTAAGCTTTAGGTAAACACATCCAACGCAAACATATTCCTCTTCTTAAGGTAGAGGAGGCTTGCGATAATGAGGTATTCCTCGTAGCGCTCCCGTTTTGAAGCGCGCCCATCTAAGCGCTTCCGTTTTATTGCGCGCTCTCTCTAAGCGCTCCCAAAAGGAGCGCTTTGAGGAACGATTAAAAATATTAAAATTGATTTCCTCGAAGCGCTCCCATGATGACCTTTCGGATAGAGATGGGACTATACTAACTGAAATTATCGATAAGAACTAGGTAATAAATAGAACACATTGTTATAATATACAACTAGCGGCCCGCCCCGGCTTCGCACAGTTTTGGTAATTTTTTTTGGAATGGAAATGCCCCCGGTATATTGCTATAGGCTCACCCCCCCTTGGCTCCTTTTGGGAGCGCTTAGAGGAATAAAACGGGAGCGCTTAGATGGGCGCGCTTCAAAACGGGAGCGCTACGAGGAATACCTCGCCATAATCATTAGTCCTCATACTCGATAGGCAGTTACCTACCTAGGTCATCGATGCTGTCAGTACCTAAATATTGCTTTAGTAGTTAGGTTGCCTACTACTCTACACATATTCCTTCATATTATTTACCAAGGTAGTTTGAGAGGACAGTACTTAAAGCTATTTTGTGCATTTTGTATGAGCTTCATTTATGTATCTAACTGCTATGCTATACAGATATCGAAACATGACGCGACTAAGTACCTAAAGTGAATTCCGAAATTCAAACCTTTGAATGACATTCTCGGATCGAATGTCTCAAATACAATAGGTAGGGTAGTTGATAACTAGCCAAGTTTAATACTTTTATCGGAATGTCAAAAACGACACTGTCCTATGAATTTTGTATGAATTACCAACTTATGACGTCATCATATTTTTACATTAAATAAATAGCCCACATATTCTGAAAAAGTTGCTAGAATAAATCGAAAATTAAGTATATCGTAATTAGATTGAAAAATTAAAATAATTAAGTTTTGGCCCAGGAAACCACGTATGATACATCACGTTACAAAAATAGGGTTATAGTCATGGGTTCGATTATAAAAATAAAAAAGAGCTAATGGCTTCTAATAGATGATTAAAATTATAACCGAAGTCATTGGATGATTTTCCCCCCTCAAAAAAAGCTTGGATAAATTCAGCGATGTTGAGGTAATCCTAGGGAACATATAGGTATAGGTCGTAGGTAATTGTCAGAAGCCTTCAAACCTAGGAGCTTCGACATTCTAACTACCTAACCTATCAGTGGGTGTGTAAGCCATAAGTACGTATGACCAATAATAGTTGTTTATTGCTTTTTAATTTTCGTTTGTTTTTAGTTTTTGAAGTCGGTTTTTTTAAACGTAGTGTTTAAATTTTTTTTATACTTTTTAGTTTAGTAGGTACAAGAATATATTATATTATGTACAACCCACATAGATGCACAGTTCTCATCAATACAAATTATTCAAGCTCAAACAAGAGGTAGCTACTATATTTACCATTGAGTAGTTCTCTTAGCTATCATACTACTTCATCATTGGACCTTTAATGACAATCACACCCCAACTAGGTATACACGTATGAGGACTATGCAGTCCTCATCACTACATATGATCAAATTCAAAGTAGGTACTGGTAACCGCTGAGAAGTTCCTTCAACTATCGTACTACTTCATCATCAGACTCTTATTGACAATCACACCACACCTATGTCACATAGGTAATAAGAGTACACATAGGCTATGTGTAAAGTCCTCATCAATACAAATTAATCAAACCCAAACACAAGGTGGCTAGTGTTAATCGTTGAGGAGTTCCCTCAACTATGGTACTAATTCATCATCAGACCTTTATTGGCAATCACATACCACTTAAGTAGAAAATCCTCATCAATACAAGTTAATCAAACCCAAACACAAGGTAGCTACTGTTAACCGTTGAGGAGTTCCCTTGATTGGCTCTCGGCTCCATCATTAGATCGACCTTTATCAGATTGTAGTGGTTTTAAATACTTAATGAGTAAATTAACACATGCACTAGTCGCCCCTATAATTTTTAAAAGTTCCCCTCGGTTCCACTGGGGTTCCATCATCAGATCCCGATTTGATGACAATGGGACCAAATGACAAGGCTACCCTTTCAAATAAAAAAAGAATTTTCAAAATCGCTCCAGGCGTCTTCGAGTAATCAGGTAAAAAATATAAAAATAATAAAGTCGAATTAAGAACCTCCTCCTTGTTTTGAAGTCGGTTGAAAAAGACCCACTATTTTACAAAAAATAGCTGACCCTAATATTTGTTTGTTTAATTTTTTACTCCATAAAAACATTTCTCGGGTTTTGAAGAATACCTGCTATTATGAAGGATTAAAAGAGGTCGATACTGTGACCGAGAGGATGAGTTTTGCGCTTAGCGACACATTTAATAGCTCGTTCCTTTGTTCATTGTCCTCTATCCCACTTTGTAGTAGTAGACTAGATAAATAAATAAATTAGGATTTTCTTTGTCGACAGGCGTTATTAAAGTTGACTTTAGCAATAGCAACTGAGAATATTTTCTCTACCTAGCATGAGTTTCGAGTTTCTCCGCTTTCTTTGCGTCTTGCTTCGTCTATGGTAAAACTTAGGGCCCCGTAGGTGTTTATTGACATCTATATAGTTACGTTTAGGTATGATTTTGTATTAAAAAACAAAGTAAAGTTTTAATTTCACAAAATCTATATCATAATCCTAAGATTATGTGACACCGGTTTGCAGTTCTGTAGGAATTTTAACCATAACTGGTCCAGCAGTTTAGCGTAATTCCAGGACAATTTTTGCATTCACTAAGTTCCTAAGTAGCAACAAGCTAGATGTTAAGTTTTGTCACATATTATGAAGAAAGCAGAAAAATATAGAGAAATGATGTATCATAGGACTAAGGAAATCTCCATAATATCTAGGTACTTATGTATGTATTAATTTTATGTGTATTAAACTTAGTACTTGTGCATGAATATCCTTTGTTGTATAGGTCCTTACTTAAAACGTAGGCATCGATACCTATCTATCTATACTCTCCCACGTATTATTTTATCTTTCACGCATTGAACTAATAGTAACCAACCAAGAACCATTACAACTGCGTCATTGGTATACATCGTAAATGCATTTCCTAACGACAATACGCATCAAATGTATTTTTACTAGTCTCAAAGCACCCCATTGTATTGTATCCTATAAAAGAAAGGGACAGCTGTCATAGAAAATCAGATAAAAAAAAAGAAGTCGAGTTGAGCTTTAAGGAATTCTATTTATAGAGGAACAAGGTTTTTTTTACTACGCCATAGCATCGTAAGCAGCTTGGGTTGGCTATGCAGCCGTTTGCTGCACATGTTAAAAAAACTGTGACGCAGTAAGACTCATAGTAATAGAATACACTTTAACCTAACATAATAGAGTTCAAATTCGTTTAGACGGTAGATAAATCTGGAATTCCGACAAAAATAAATGACCAATCTATGGAAAAAAATGTGATATGAAATTCGTAGAGATAGGTATAAAATAGACCTATTGCTCTTTTAATTAACAATGAGGACTATTAGCAATGCCCTTGTACTTTCTATCTGTGTAGTACCTACATGTGGGTAGACATGTCGTAGGTAGCCGGTACAGGCGAGTGGGACAGTGAATCAAAGAGTCTATAATTGTGAACGATGCGAGTGCCAAAGGGACGCCTCAAACCGGTCGGGGTGATGGCGTATCTACGTTTCAATATGGCCGCCACTCCCAGAACTACAATGTAAATAAATATGAGGCCCTGATTTATGTAGTTATACTTAACACGTTCGAGGACGCTACCACTTGAGTCGGGTTTTCAAAATGACACAGTACATGTCTATACAAAATTATACGACGTATCAGTACGTAGTGTCCCATGAAGAAATATCGTTTTAAACATATCATGACACAACCGTTTTATCACGTCAACGTGTATATGCATCTAGGTAAGGATCCGCCTCGTTGGAGATGTCGGAATCATCAAACATGCTTATCTTGTGTCTTATTTTGCGCTTATATCCATCTAAAACACACAATAACCCATTAAACATCAATTTCACACTGTAAAATCATTAATTTGCATTAAAGTAATGTACACAGTGACACAGCCGCGCTGAATGTAGGAGCGCTGGACGTATAAACACGTTGTGCGTATGTGAATACCGTAACCGCACACTATCAACGACACTTATTTTAAATAGTTCTAAACTTACCCTACGTGACAGTACAGAGTTGGGTATTTCATATGTTGTGACACAAGATACATTTAAAAGGATTTTTACTTGAACTTTCATCGGAAATGAACGTTCTGCCGTATAATTTAAATGTTATTTGAACGTCATCGTACGTTGTGCGATATTAAAATCTCGAACGATGACGTATAATCTCGTTATGTCCTCGAACGTGTTAAATATCGATAGTGATGTCCGCATCGCTTTGTTGTGTTGTTTTTTTTTAATTAATACAAAATATATTTAGCTACTATAATGACTTGCCTGTTAATTATTGATAGCGTTATTATTGTTATTACCAAATATATATAGATAGAACATTTAAAAAAGTGAAAAGTCAAGTCTTAATCGATTTTGTTCATCAGTACTGCCACAAAATAGCATTGAATGTTGAAAGATTTCATTATCATTCATAATACTTAGGTCCTTTAACTGAACAGGTGAAAAAGATAATTGTAAAAACAAATTTATGTCCAAGGTGACGCGACAAGGGACGAAAAGTAACGATGGGTGGCTTCCGTCATCCCCACTAAACTACTCCTTTGTCTACAAGCTACAAGCTTCGACTGTAGATATCGTTATTAAATTCTATTAGGTACTCTATGGCAACACGAATGACGCTACCAACTTAAAAGTGCAGTTGCGAGGGTCGCTAGTTTCTTTGTAACATTTTTGACAGTTGGTACTGTCATTTTGTTGAAAAATTAGTTCCAATTTTGTCCACCTGAGTTTATATTTTGCGTTTGAGGGACGCTATGGTTTTATTGTGGTATTTTTAGTAGCAAACTGCTTCGAAAGATTTAATGCAAGTATAAATTAAACAAGAAGAGATTCGCTAGTTAAAAAATACATGTCAATTTTTTTTTAAATTTTATCCTGCAGCTTTTTTTAACTTTCTAGGGTCGATGCACATCTCCAACTCCCCCCAAGCGCGGAGATTAAAGCAAACCCCTTTATATAAAATGGCCTATAGGCTAGTGGTAAGAGTGGTAGACTGTAATCGTCGTTGATCTCTGATGGCAGCCTTTAGTAGTCAGTTGTGCAGTTGTGCAAGAGATATCATAGTGCGGTTGTGTCCAAGGCCAGCAGTCCCAACATTTCTTTAATATAATTTCAACCTTATAGCCCTTTCTATAAAGTTGAGTATCTATTAACTCTCTGACTTTTTGTCTTCTTTTAACCTACTATTTATGTATGGTACTCACCATTGAAAGTAAGTAAGGACGGCAATAAGATGTAGATCCATCTCTGTTCTATCGACCAGTCGGACATCGGGTACTTTCGCATCATGTAAGCAAACCAGAACTGAAAAATATTAACAAACAAAATTAGTAACTAGATTTTTATATTATTATGGAGAATTTATCCAGACTGCCTCGTTGGCCGAGTGGTCGCAAGTGCGACTGTCGGGAATGGGATCCCGGATCGGGCAAAGTATTACTGGGTTTTTTAACAAATTCTCAGTAGTAGCACGGAGTCTGGAATTGTGCCCGGTATATGGCAATAGGCTCACCCCCTATGACATGGGACTCATAACATAAATAGTGAAAAGTGGGTGTTACATTGTACTGTGGCATAATGTGCACCTCCGCCTACCCCTTCGGGGATAAAATGCGTGATATTATGTAATTTATCCATATTTTTAATTAAAATTGTTGTAGCAACTTACAGTCATGAAGAACGACGTCATCACGAATATAAATCTAAACCACGTTTCCATTTGTGTAAAAGCTGGATTGTAGGTTTTGAACTGGGAACAAAAAACATAATCGTTAGGTTAGAAAATTGTGCAACACTATGTTTTAGGCCTTATAATATGATATATCAGGCTTACAGATTACGTATTAGATAATTTAGATGGCTTTTTTAGTCTTTTTTTAAGGGGGTAATAACATCGAATGACTGCTCCCGCCTGGGTGAGACGGGAGGGAGTGTCAGACTCTTACTGACTAAAAACCACCCCGTTCCTTCTCCTGCACGTCGAGCCGGAGCCCCGGCAACCCGTTAGGTTCTCCGCGATTCCGAATCGGCATTGGCCCTATTGGGCCCCATCTGTGGTGGTCTGATGGCTCTTTGAGTCGCGCGCGGAACGCTCGGCGCCGTACGCTCGGGTCTGTTTCTGGTCGGACGGGGAGCCACCCATGCTCGCCGTCCGCAGGCCCGCGCTTACGGTGGCCGGAGATCGTCCCGCGATCCCCGACGTCCGGTGTGTCATTCGCGATGGCGGCTTTTTTTAGTCTACCTTGGGTATTTGTTAGCAATCATTTAGGTACGTCTGTTAATATAACATCCTTAACTTGATTTTGAGACATTTCAACAATCTTCCTGATTTGTAGACTAGATCTGCTGAAGGATGTCACCCAGTAACAATTTACGACTTCTAAACAACATCTGTGGTTACTGTATTAGTCCACTCCTCACCCCATCCCTGAAGAGATCTTGAAGGCTCTGGAGCAGAATGCTCGCGATGAGGCCGCTGGCATCTTCGATGACGGTGAGCTATTGCTACAAGTAAATTACCACCACCTATAATTTTATATCATGGAATAATTAAGTGTGGGAGAGCCATGCTTCGGCATGAATGGGCCGGTTCGACCGGAGTGATACCACGGCCGAGAAGAAAACAGACGTGAAGCAACGCTTGCGCTATGTTTCGTCGTGTGAGTGAGGTTACCAGAGGCCCAATTACTCCCTTCCCAGTGTCTTTAATCCCCGAATCACCAACAATCCTCAAATTCTTAATTCCCAAAAGGCCGGTAACGCACTTGTAACGCCTCAAGTGTTCCAGGTGTCCATGGGCGACGTCGATTGCTTACCATCAGGTGATCCGTCTGCCCGTTTACCGGCTTATCTCATAAAAAATGTAGGATACTCACATAGAATACAATATCCCTAATAATATATCGGTGGTGGAACTCCTTGAGCCCATAAAAGTTAATATTGAACACGTAGTGCGTGTAGTCGAGCCACAAGATGTGTAGGACCATCACTTCCTCGCACACTCGCTGCCTGCACTTCAGGTGTTGGGTCCTGGAAGTATGAAGACAGGTTGCTCTAAATCTGCCTTGTTGGCTAAGTGGTCGCAAATTCTCAGTAGTAACGAGTCTGGAATTGTGCCCGGTATGCCCACCTTCGTCTCCTAGTAGTCGCAGCGTAGTTTTATAATTAAAACCTTCGATAAGTAAGTACAGTATTCGAAACTAACAGAATTATTCCATTCAGAGCAGTAGTTCCAGAGATTGGCGCGTTACAAAAAAAAACTCTTCTATTTTTTAATATGTATAGAAGATACTACCTCTACTAACTGACTGCCTCGTTGGCCGAGTGGTCGTAAGTGCGACTGCCGGGTAAGGGGTCTCGGGTAGTTAAGTATTACTGGGTTTTTTAAAATTCTCAGTAGTAACACGGAGTCTGGAATTGTGCCCGGTATATGGCAATAGGCTCATCCCCTATTACATGGGACTAATAACATAAATAATGAAAAGTGGGTGCTACATTGTACAGTTAAGTGCCGTAATGTGCACCTCTGCCTACCCCTTCGGGGATAAAAAGGCGTGCTGTTATGTTTAACAAAGTTACTTATTAATATGGGACAAAGGACTTTAAAGGCACGGATTTCTTTAAATAAACCAGACGGAAACACCCTTTATTTAAGTGTCGAAAATTATCCAATGCCTTCTCCAGTCTGGGTGAACTGTGCATCGCCAGATAAAGCAAATGGGTGATTGGGTGTGTAAAGTTTGAGATATGCGATGATAGGATAAAGTGTGGATCACGAGGACGTGAAGTTAAATATGATACTACATACTTTTTTAAAAAGAGTAACGAATGGAGTTTTTTGCTCGTTCTTCTCCATTCGAATCTACTTTTTGGAATGAGCACCTAGCTTCACCTAGTTTCACTGACGGACTGACTGACAGACTATTATTTATTTTGTATTTGTTGTCGTTTCAAAAGTACCAAACTATGGTTTAATTGAAATAAATGGGTTGCTTTTGACAGTTTGACCAAATATCGTTATTTTCGAACAAAAGTTAATGGAGGTATTGAAAGATGTTGTTTCATTCCCATGTCTCTGCAAAAATGGTAGCTACTGTTACTTTATGTCAACGTTCAGTTACTGGTCTTTGATTGATGGAATCTCTCAGTTTAATTAGTGATTCCTAGTGGCCTTGCTATAAAGTTCGTTTATAACTTACCTATTGGAAGCATCCGCTTCGGACAATATTTCTTCTGTGTTACTGTGGTCGGCCAACACGCCCTCTATTGAAATACTAACTTGGAAGCTCTTGTCGAATATCTCCTCTGTAATTAAAGAATATGATGTCAGTTGATTCAATGTTTCGGTATTTTCATCGTTGTATCTGTAACTGTAGGTGTCGCGGTGGCCCGGAGGTTCAAGACGCCCACTTCTCATGCATGAGGGTGTGGGCTTAAAATCTACCAACGGCAAATACCAATGTGACTTTTTCCGAGTTATATGTACTTTCTAAGATCTAGACACCACTGACAAACGGTGAAGGAAAACATCGTGAGGAAACCTGGGCTTATAATTTCTAATTATAAGTTTGCAATCACCAACTCGCATTGAGCAAGCGTGGTGATTAATGCTCAAACCTTCTCCGTGTGAGAAGAGGCTTTGCTCAGCAGTGGTCATTTATAGGCTGTTGATGATGATCTACTGTAAATTCTAACTATTAAAAGTTGCAGCGGTTTTGGAAGTTGTAGCAGGTTTGTTCTATTAAATATAAGGCCTTCATAATTCCTCTGTTTGTTAACCCTTCCATTTCTTTTCTACTGCCTAATCCCACTACAGTTATAAGATCCGTGTACCTAATTGACATGTCGAAACGTACCGTCGTCATTATTAGTGAGTATTTCAGCCATGAGCCACAGTTGCTGCGCTCTAAGGCCGAGCGCCCTGCTGTGCAGGTGGAAGGGTCCCTGGTATATACTGCTGGAGTTCGTCAGCACTGACGACGCCGTCATCGACGTCGTCATTGTTGGTGATGGTCCTGGAATCGTTCGGATTACTTACTTATGGAACAGACTTTTGGAATTGTACTTACTGGCCAATGTATGACAGAGGCCTTAGTACCAAGTTTGTTTTACGTTTAAGACTTTGACTGTCAATAAAAAACTGTTGAAGGTAAATCCTCCGCTAACGCTGGTCACCGGTGACCCCCATGGCGTTTAATGTGTTAAAGTAATCGTAACGAGTACGCGTTCGGCGCTCTAATTTGTTAGTTCATTGGTGTTGGCCAATCAGGGCCTTAGTACGAGTTTCTGTTTCGTTTAAAGTAATCGAAACGAGATGGCGTTCCGTGCTATGATTGGTTGCTTCATTGGTGCTGGCCAATCAGAGTGCCGAACGCGTACTCGTTTCGAATACTTTAAACGTAAAAGAAACTCGTACTAAGGCCTCTGATTGGTTGGTTCATTAGAGCCGGCCAATCACAGCGCCGAACTAAGGCCCTGATTGGCCAGCACCAATGAACTAACCAATCAGAGCACCGAACGCGTACTCGTTACGATTACGTTATACGAAAAAGAAACTCGTATAAAGGCCTCAGACTTGCTACATACTATATTTAACTAGCGAAAATTAGCGTTACATAATAATAATCCTTACATTCCAAGAAAACGGCGAGGTGTTACCTATATTACTCATAGTAATAAAGGCAAAAAACGTAGGTGGATATTCTAATAATTTAGCCTGTGTCGTGGGTGTGTTTACAAACACAAATTATATCTATATGAAGACATTACAGGGCGTTATTTGCCCTTATTTCCGACACAGTGACGCCATAGATCGTAAAACGTAAGGAAGAAGTAAAGAGTAGGTATAATATAGACATACGTATTACGTACTAACAAATAGATATATAGGTATATCGACCTATTACAGGAAACAGCTCAAGTTTCCATTTTTAATTTTCCTTTTTATGAAGGTGGCTTTACGCCGGGCGTGCGCAATTCCACGTGGTATAACAAAAACAAAGTGCTGATTAAAATTAGGTACTATTAAGAAATTGTACTAACCTGCTAGTCCTATAAATACTCCTAATCCGAAACAAGCGAAAAACGCAATAAATACCATCACGAACTCCCCTTTGTGCATTGAATAAATCCTCATTTGAACAGACCTGGAATTATACAAACATAAATGAGTGCCTTCTCATGAAAATACAACGTAGTTACTGTAACTTACATTTAGAAACAGAAAACAGATATTATATTATTTTATTTTAGCAAAGCGCCATACATAATAAAAAGGCTAAGACATCAAATAATTTTGAAGTAAGAATAATAATCATACAAGTGGTATCATAGGTACATAATATAGGTAGGGTAGGCATATTTCGCATAAATATTTAATTCCGTAAAAATCTTAAGAATAAAAATAAAAAAAGACCATAAAATACCTTTCACAACGATCGTGATGATATGCGGGGGCGATATATTTATTAAATTCGCTAAACAAATCACTGAATTGCGACAATGTGTTGCGTATTTTATAGTTCCAGCCGCCTGAAGGCAAATGGTACGAATATCCCACATTTGCGGTGTCCATTTTTACTAAATTAATTCTACACACACAAACTAACTAAAATGGAGGTTAAATGAAACGGTTTGACAAAACAATAATTGCGGAATATGAAAATTGTACAACGATTGTTTGCCCTACATTTGGTACGGCTTGTTTACAAGCAGATTATTGATTTTCGCGCTGGCCGCAGGGCTGCCATACTTTGCTTAGGGAGGGAAAATGACGTGGCAGGAGGGAACTATTGGTAATCGAGTCGCGTGTCATACTTGATAATATTTTTATATACTGTCATGGGTTGTAAAATAATTCCAGGGATTTTTTTTACATATGAAGATATTTTTTTGGTATGGTGGATTTGTATGAGTCTTCGTTTTTTTAAGTCGGTATTTACGTAACTGTGTATAAATCAGTATGAATGTAGGTGTGTATAAATGTCGTACCTTAGGTACTTGGTACATACCTAATATTAGGAATGAGTAACCTTTGAAGAAGCTTTATTTTATATCTCTTTTGTTTTTATAGCGCCATCTAGTTGCAAAATATTTAATTATTTGAAAATTAATTTCCCTGATCATAAGTTACCTACCTAGTGTCAAGACGAGGCACAGTGACCTATTCCAATGTGTCTATTTTTGCCATTCGATTTTCGACTTTAAATAACAATAATAAAGCTAACAATCTTATAAAGACATTTGCCAGAAAGAAGTAGGTTGACTTGCTGGCATTGTACACTGAAAATGGTAAATGACTCAGTGCCTTTATGAGTGTGTGAGTACGTCATACTGGAAAACGTAAGAGTAAAATTACGACGTCGTGTAGGTGTCATAGGTACTTTTATATTTAGAAAAACATAAAGTTCAAATTAGTCTTCTAATATTTTTTACACAATGCGTTAAGAGCCCTTTTACACTAACGCTTTTACCTTTTACACTTTTCGTCCAGCGTACGCGTTCGATCAACGTATGCGCCGCGACGACTGCATAGCGTCGAGTGCTCTAAATGAAACATTCACGACTTCAAGACCGACTTTTGTTATTGCCAACGTAGGGAATGTTAAATATGTCGTGGTGGCTCGAGGGTTAAAGGCCCTCTTCTCATGCATGAGGATACGGGTTCGAAACCTACCAACGGCAAGTACCTACCAATGTGATTTTTTCCGAGTTATATGTACTTTCTAAGATCTAGACACCACTGACAAACGGTGAAGGAAAACATCGTGAGGAAACCTGGGCTTATAATTTCTAATTATAAGTTTGTAATCGCCAACCCGCATTGAGCAAGCGTGGTGATTATTGCTCATACCTTCTCCGTGTGAGAAGAGGCTTTGCTCAGCAGTGGGCACTTATAGGCTGTTTATGATGAACGTAGGGAATGTTGGCCCAGGCAGTAGGCGTAGTATTGAATAAAATATGTATGATAATGAAACTACAAACATAATTTATTAAATTATTTATTCAACATTAAGCTTTCACATGCAAACACTTACAATAAGAAGTTTACACAAATATATTTTAACAAATAAGATTATCTAAATTCGAGTTTTTTTTAAATAATAAATAGGAACAATTAATATTAAATAATGCAATATTTACAGCTGGCAACACAAACCATTTAAATGATGACAACATTTGATACAACAGATTATAATAAAACATTTAAAACAAGATGGTAGATTTGTAGCACTTTGAAAGTGGAGTGTTACCAACTGTAATAAATAAAAAAACAATGATTACCAAAGGAATGTAAGATTTTTATATAGAATGGGAGAATTTATTTATATTTTTAACAATAATAATTCAGAGTTCAACTCTTTCTTCATAAGAAAAGTATAAAAGTAAATAATTTATGTAAACAAATAATTGTGTATATATTCCTTTTTAATTTAAATGATATATTATTCCTCTTTATTTTTATGGCATTTAAAATCGTAATTGCAATAAAATTTTATAAAACAAAGAGTTTCAGTAGCTTCTATCAAGATCAACCACATTTTTCAACTTCTTCAACTTGAAACTGCAAAATTCACTATTAACCAGATATGTAAAACATATTTTAATTTAATAATTTGCTATTAATAAATACACTTTTCTGTCCTTTATGTCAATTATTGACTTTTTTCTGCCAAAAACTTGCTACATGCGAAGTTAAAAGAAAGAGATATTACTATATTAGTCCTCTTTTTCATACATTTGGTGTTGCATAAAGTCGAAGCCCATAATGATGTGCATAGTATCGATAAAATAAGGAGTTTCTCTTATCGATATACATACTTAATTTCTTGATTAACCTGTTAAGTGTTGGAATGCAAATCTACGCGAGATAGAATGTGTTTTTATTGTGTCTCATATGTGGATAAAAAAGAGGTTAAGTATCGACATAATTAAGGTAAAAACCCGATGTATGCAGGATGCTTCGGACCTCCGATTTGGAAGTTATTATGGGAAGCCTATGTTCAACAGTGGATGTCTTGTGGCTGATACAGAGATGACGATGGTCGATACTTTAGTTTAGAGGCAATAGTACCAGTTTATTTTACGTTTAAAATAAATTAGAACGAGTATGGGTTCAGCGCTCTGATTGGCCAGCTAATCAGATGAACCAATGAACCAACTAATCAGCGCTGAACGCACTCTCGCTTCTATAACTTTAAACGTTAAACGTACTAAGGGCTTATGTATTACTAAAATGTTACTTTGTAACTCGGCATGTATGAAGTTTGTGGTTGTATGTTAGCCGTTAATATTCTGCGTGTTTTGCCTCATAAGCTAGCTTTAATATAATCTTTTGAAGTTATCGTATACAGATTCGGTGTGTTTAATAAAGTGAAGGTAATATGGCCACAACTAAGGTAACATAATAATAAAAATAAACTTATTTATAATTGTACTAAATCTAACACGTGATGCTAACACTAAGATTCAGGTCTATAAATAAATTATTTATAAAAATTACAATTACAATTTAATAATAAGTACAATAATTTTGGAGAACAATATATTTTTGTGACGGTATGCTGGTAGCTTTGGTTTCACAATTTATATAGCAATATCTAACTTGGCAAATACATTATAGTTATAAAATACAAAACCATCAAAAGTTATAAATTCTAATAAATAATATATTTTTAAAAGTTTATAGAAATACATAAAATGATAGAAATATGGAAGGGAATTTATCGATACTGAGAATCGATTAATGTAATGGTTATCGATATTTTTATCGTATTATGTACACGGTATTTCGTCACATTCAAATATCGGACACACTGTTCTGATTACTGTTAATGTAATACTTTGAAAGTATGTGTATTTGATTGACGAAGGCGATTTATTATGTACGTCAAAATATTTATTTTTCAAAATATAATGAACTTTACATTTGGCGACTAGCTCGCATCTTAGGCTTGATTATATCAAAGTCTAATACTAAATTACTATATTAAGTTACATTTAAGTAATCGTGAAAAAATGTTGCTTGTTTTGGTAGTATACTATGGCTAGTGTTGTGCTCAAAATAATTTTAATTTGAATAACCTAGCAACACTACGCCACTGTAACTACAAAATATTGAGATTCCGACAAAAGAATGAAAAAGAAACAAATTTTAGTTTGTTTTTTTACCGTCAAATTAGTATTTTTAGTAACTTTTTGTCTAGAAGTGTGGTTAGACCAAAATTAAATTAAAAATCTTCACAATTTTCCTTAACACAGAGTCTGCCGTTTCAAATATTTTTTGGCTTTATTTATCTAAGTATAGGAACGTTTAAAAATATTTACATCAAGTTAAGAGTACCAGTGTTAGTGTTACGCTGCGGCAGGTGTCGTAGTGTTACTCTGCGTAGTGCTGTCCGGCGTAGTGCCACTCGGCGTATTGTCGCTCGGCGTAGTGTCGGCCGATATACTGGAGTTGCCAGCCGGGCTTGCTGCGGACGGGGCCACTGTACTTATTTGTGATAGCGGCGATTTACCTGCGAGGATTGGTAAAAAAATGTTGATTTAATGTCGGTAAAAAGTAATTATTATCGGAGGATTTTAGCTATAGTTTACACGTTACTACTTTGGCTAATTCATCTATATCATTACGTTAGTACGCATGAAAGCCAGATACCCTAGTTTTACAATACTCATTACTCATACATTCTTTGAATAGTTACTTAATCTACACAATACAAATACCACTATTGAGAGGTAGAACTAATGAGTTTACCATCTCGAATGACATTAGCTACATTATTTTATACACCGTGAAATCTATATTGTTTTTGTCACGAAGTAAAATGGTTCTGCCTTTGTAATACAATGTTTTACAAAGAAATAAAATGTTTAAAACAAAGATAACAGGTGAACCATTGCAAAAAGCAAACTTCGAACTCAGTATATTATCAAAACATGACTCCATATAATTCTCGAAGAGCTATTTCTCATTAGGTGGTTCGATAAAAATAAATAAAAGTAAAAAATAGTCATTATTTTTTAGTTTTATTTATTTGTTATCTTTGTTTTTACTTTATACATAGAAATTACTCTTCATGGCAATTTGTTTTGCCGCGGAACGAAAACAAAATAAATTTCACGGTGTGTATTGAAACCTTGGTGTCTAACCAATCTCTTTGCTCTTGTTAAATAGCATCTTGCTAGAGATGTTTTCGGCTTTTTTGGCTTTTTCTGACATCGCCGGTTATGGGCTATATATGAAGAAACGGTTAGAACGTAGGAATTAGCGCTCTCATCGAATTACATTAAGGTCCTTTTTCCAACTTGGCTAAACAAATTTTTAAACCTCATCTAAAATAAAGTGATGATGAGTGATGATCTGATTGTCTATAAGTATTTAACTCGTCGAGTACCGGTTTTATAGACACAATTAAAGAACAATAGGTCGCGGTCACCGGTGACCGCTTGGTGTTTGACAGTTTAATTAACATTTTAGATTTTGTGCTGAGAATTTCAAGTTGGATAATATTTTTGGTACCAGAGTAGTATTAATCGTTATATCGAACTAAAAAGCGTTTCACCTGCCTCAGGAATTATTGTCGTTGGTAAAAACTTTTTGAGTTTAACACGTTCATTCAGACAAACGCGAAAGGGTAATACTTTTTGTAATACATATGTATGGATTATAAAACAAATAAAAATAAAAATCCTTAATATTTACCAATTTAAAAACATCCACATTAAAAATATTTTAAATGATTTAGTTTGACGGAACCCCTGGCGTGAAAGTTTCCTCCAGAGAATGCATCTTTCTCAATTTTGTATCTAGCCAGCGTACCCCAGTAACACGCATGTAAGGATTGTAGTTATTTGAATCGCCATCAACGAAGATAGTACATACCGGAGACATAGTCCTGGAACCACTTGCTGATCCCGGCGGAGTGTTTCCTGACCCAGTCTATGCGGAACGTGGCCGTGTCCACCAACTTCTGGAGAGTCTGCGACATCGGCATCAACTGCTCCTTGTGCTTTAGAGCGAAGTTCTTCAGCTGGAAATATTAATAATAATCCTTACTAATATTAATATTAATTAATTTAATTAATAAATAAATGGGAAAGTGAGTTTGTTTGTTTGTTCCACTATCACGCCGTAACTACTAAACCGATTGCTTTGATTTTTTTTAGACGTAAAGTTAAAAGTCCGGATTAAATAATAGGGTACTTTTTAACCTTTTTAAATTTGATATTCCCGAGGGAAAACAAAAGTATTGGTATAGATGGCGCTGTGTGTATTGGTATATGTCACATAGGCTACTTTTTATCCTTTTGTGACGCGAGCGAAGCCGCGGGTAAAAGCTAGTTATGAATCATAAGACACAATCTTGTAGCCAGGATTATTCATCAACAACTTGCTGTGAAATAATTATGAATTATTTTTTATTTGGTTTTTATGCTAGAAAAGTATCTATTACTTTATAAGTATAGTTCTGTCGCTACAAACTCTTTGTAAAATGACAGAGATGGCACGATATTGAACACACGACTCGACAAGTAATTTTATTCAGAAATACGAATACAGAGTGACACCGTGCGCGGCCGGACACGTCGCGCAGCTCACTCGCTGCTCACGAGGGAGAACCCCTCTGTGGTTTGTTGCCCCACACTAGGATTATCTCCTGTGTCGTGGGTGCGTTTACAAACATACAAGTTCACATACACAATGACACCCAGACCCGGAAAAACAATCTGTGGATCGCACAAAGTGTTGTTCCGTGCGGGAATCGAACCCGCGACACGTTGCACGGCAGCCGGTTGCCCAGCCACCGCACCAACCGTGCAGTCGAAACTAGTAGAGCTTTTTTCAGTATATTCACGTAAGTAACCCGCGATTTTAATTAATTTAGAATGTCTCACTATAGTTATTATAAAAACAAAGTGGATACTCTAAAATTTTTGATAATAGTGGTCTTCTTGATTTTTAGATCAATGTTCATTATGGATTATTAACTTAACGAAGGATGTAACGAAATACGTACCCTGGTAAGTTCTTCCTCCGTAGAGATGAACCCGAAGCTTCCACTGAGTACGGCGGGGAACATGAATGCGTCCATTTGTGTGAATTTGTCGTACACCTAGAATTTTTATTTTTATTTTATTTTATTGACTTGGCTCACCAACAATTGATTACACTTATACAATATAGGGTTACATTTACGAAAACTTAAATACTAGTGCATCAATCTATTATAGGTAAGCACAACATGCAATGAATTAATGATATGATTACATTAAAAACTTATTACAGACTATCTCGTTGGCCGAGTGGTCGCAAGTGCGACAAGTGGGCAAAGTATTGCTGGTTTCTTTTTTAAATTGTTAGTAGTAGCACGGAGTTTGGAATTATCCCGGTACATGGCAATATGCTCACCATCTATCACATGGGACTCATCACATGAATAGTGAAAAGTGGGTGTTGCATTGTACAGTGGCATAATGTGCAGTAATGTGCACCTCTGCCTACCGCTTCAGGGATAAGAGGCGTGATGTTATGTTATGTAAAAATTGTAATGTCGTTTTATCCTTACTAATATTATAAATTGGAAAGTGAGTTTGTTTGTTCCGCTTTCACGCCGTAACTACTAAATCGATTGCTTTGAATTTTTGCAGACGTGAAGTTAGAAGTCTGGATTAAATAATAGGGTACTTTTTATCTCAGAAAAATTTGATATTTCCGAGGGAAAACTAAAGTATTAGTATAGATTGCGCTGTGTGTATTGGTATATGTCACATAGGCTACTTTTCATCCTTTTGTGACGCGAGAGAAGCCGCGGGTAAAGAAGCTAGTATGTAATATAGCGCAATTTTCAATAGTGTGCCAGTAGGGCCTGGCCCCCAGTAGGTGTGTACCTGGTGGAAGTGTGTGAGCAGGAAGTCCTGCGCGAGCCGCGTCCCGAGCGGGGCCTCCACGCTCCACGCCGCCACCGCGTACTGCTTCGGGATCTCCGACAGAGACCGCTCCAGGAGCCTGACGGAACATTATGTGTTTTAAATAAGAATAAACATACAAAGTAACACTTATTAATGGCCTACTACATTTTACACTTGGAACTTATGTCCAATAGTACACAACAAAATCAAAACTTATAATTATTTCAACAGAAATAGTTAAAACTTGTTATTTTCAAGAAAACAATGTATAATGTGATAAAATTGTTTTATATGTTTATTTCCGAATTTCGACATTTATTTTGGAAGTATATTTTATAATGTTGGATTCAAATTAAAGTTTCCATAAATTCTATTTCTTATTTGTATTGTAACTTTCGTGAGACATACTAAATAAATTATTATGTTTTCGACTTACTCACGTAATAATTTGACGAGGAACTCGACTAGTTTTAAGCCATGCTAGAGGCTCATATTCATGAGTAGCATTTCGCGACCCGAGACGCGGCGACTGTCGCGAAATACTGCTCATGAATATGAGCCTCGTGAGTAAGCCGAAAACATAATAATTTATCTATTTCTTATGTTTCCAGAATGCAGTCATTCTGTGCAAATGGCTTACACATTTCAGTAGTAAAACTTTAACAGTAAGGGAAACAACTTACAAAGTAATAAGCGACTCCTCCCTCGTGCTGGGCAGGTTGTTGATGATGAGAGTCTTGACATTAGGGTCTGTGGAAGTCTGGAACACTCGGTACAGGAACTCGAACTCTGTGCGACCGCCGTGGCGGAGGACCATGTTGTACACTAGGCCACGGAGGTAACTGGGGATACTGGGGGACAACACATCATGTTTTTTGATCAATAAGCAAAACAAGAAGGAATTTCGTAAGATAGTCGGTTCTTTGAAGTTAATGTAATGTCATTGTTTGAAGCAAATGTCATTATTTGAAACTTATGTCGTCTATAGAAATATTTTTAAGTCTTATTTTAAAGATAAGATAAAGATAAAGACATTTTATTTGCGTAAAAACATGGTACACAAAGATATATAATTACAATATCATCATATTATTTTGCTTAATAAATAAATTGCAATTGCATGCAAATTTTAATTTATATCTTATTGTTAAAATAAGTAATTAATGCTATAAAAGTTATTTTCATTCAACCGTACATTTAATTTAATTTTAAACAGTCTGAGGTTAAGTTTTTTTAATGTAATCGTCAATCAAAGTATTTAATTATAATTTAGTCAGATATCTCCATGTACTGATTAAAAATTTAATGACAGAAAGACTGCAAAGTACTTCTAAAAGAATTTCTTTTTGTTTTAGTATAATACATACAAAGCTGCTTATAATTTCTGTTAGACGAGTTACATTAAAATTCAACTTTATCATCTATCAACAAAGTTTGAATACCCCAAAACCATTCCAAAAGTCACACTAAAAACAACCCTATCCAAAACAAAACACAGTTCAAACTCACGGGTTATTATTAACATCTTCCTGCTTGGTCCAGTTGTCGAACTGGTCGCGCGCCCAGCGCAGACAGCGCGGAGACTCCACGTAACACTCCCACATGACGAGGTTCTCTATCAGGAACGCTTCATTGTCGTCCTTCGGCTTCGACAGGCCGTAGTTCACTTTTTCTAGCTGCTTAGCCAGTAATATTCTCATGTAGTCCTGGAATAAAGTGATTCAATATATTTAGTATGTTGGTCTAGCTGCAAAGTTTGTGTTATCTTGTTTATCTTTGCCTACTCTTTTGGGCATTAAAAGGCTTTATGTTAAAACGTTCGTGACTAAGACGTAGTTTTAATGATTTTATAAGTTAAGTCTCATTAAATAAGGTTGATTTGTGAATGACCAACCATTCTTAAAACAGTCTACTGTATGCTTCAGTAATCACATGATAATTGGCTAGTTTTTTTTTAAATAAATTGTTTCAACTTATCAACGCAATAAATAATTAAAAAGTAATCATACTTTCGTCCATTGATATGACAAATTTACCTACTTTTGGATTTTTTCTCGCAAATTTTAAAGAAATAAGTATGCTATTTGACGCAGAAATATGATGATGTCATAAGTTGCGATCCAATACAAAATTCATAGAAAAGTATCGTTATTGACATTTCAATAAAAGTATTGAATTTGACTACATGCCAACTACCGTATTATGTTATGTAGCAAGCAGGTTTTAAGTAACATAGAACTTATTTTTTTTCTACAAAATACTAAAAACACTTATGACTCACTTGGAAATAAACATAACCAGACGTAGCCCTCAAGTTATGTCTCAAAAACGCCATGTTGTTCAGTAGAAGGTCCCAGACCATTTTGGAATCTTCCCCATTGATTACACAAGTAGTCAGTCCAAGTGCATAACTATAATTGAGTTGGGATACTTTGGCCAAGTTGAAGGCATCGTCTATGAGCTGTGACTTTGTTATAGGAGATTTAATTTGTCCAGTTTTAAGGGCAATGCTCAATAATTCCCAGTTCTTCTTGTCGTAGTTCACTCTGTAGTAGCCTGTGGAGAGATTTCGGGTTAGGTATTGAGTTGTTTAATATGGTAAAACGGGGTGAATAGAATTCAAGGGGTGAATTGATACAGAAGAGGGGTGAATAAATATCGAGAAAATTTTCTAATATTTATTCACTCCATTCCAGTATTTATTTATTCACTCCGTTTTACGGTAGAGGTTTAGTGTAGCTACGTTTCACACAACGTTTTGTATGAAATCGTCATCTACAAATGTTTTATTGTCAAGTTTGGGTTTATTATTTTTATTAAATTAACGTTTAAAAAGGAGAAACAGTAACGAAATAATATCTAATTTAATTCCAAAAACTATCTCTCGAACAAATTAGGTTTTAGGACAAATAATGTGAAAATCAATCGTAATTCAATGATTTCAGACAGATTTTTTCTTTTGTTCATTTCACCAAAATGGTTGCATTAACCAGAAACTGTTACAAAACCGAATGAGAAATCGATTCTCGATTAACTATTCGATTCTATAGAAAACTTACCAATAGCATCGACATTGACATACAACGCCTGCGTATCGTTGATAGCTAGGTTGACAGAAGTAGTGCGTCCTTTGAGCCAGGTCTTAGGTTTAGAAGTCCAGGTGTCCACGGGCGAGTCTACTATACAATAACTGATGGGGATGTGCCATAGTTGGTCCAACATTTTCTGGTATGGGTCTGTTGCCGCCGTGAATAGGCGCTGGGGAAGAAGGTTAGGTGATAAGTATCTAGATATTTTCACTAATTACGTCGTTGTCCGATTCATTATTAGTGCAACTACAGTGTAAGGGGTCCGGACAAGTATGAATGATCTAGTTATTCACCCTGAACCTTAGTTAAAGCAAAAAGGAAACAATTTTTTTTTCTGTCCAAGTGTGTCGTGGCGTAATAAACAGTTTTCTTTCTTCTATACCATTTCAGCTTCCTTACTGTCTTTAGGTAAAAGATTCGTACTAAAAACACTCCATTGCGTTATGAAAAACGAACTTGAAAAATGAAATAATGCTTTGCCCGACCCAGAACATAAGCCCGAGTCTAGCAGTCTCAGCAGTCGTGTTTAGGGCCACTCTATCAAAAAGGCAATTGTGATATTGTTTATTGAAATGAAATCATGTCGAGTTACCTGTTCAAACTGGACCCGTCCACTGTCGTAGTCCCTGTGGACGCTAAGGACGGGGTACCCGGCCTGCCTGGTCCACGAGTTCATGAAGTCTACCACGTTGAGGTCCTGCAGCGACGGATCCGACGGGGTCGCCTTTGACATCGCGTGCCAGAGGTCGTTCTCCTCCGCGTTTGAGTATTTCCTTGAAGAATTAGATAGAGTTTAAAAGAAGATGTTACATAAGCCAAATATAGATACGGGTACTTATACGCAAAGCTTATTCTCGCAATACTAGGCACTCGATTGAAAAAGAAGGTTATCCTACAGAGAAATGACAGCACGGGTGGCGCGGTAACTGGGCAACCGGCTGCTGTGCAACGCGTAGCGGGTTCGATTACCGCATGGAACAATTCTTTGTGTGATCCACAAATTGTTGTTCCGGGTCTGAGTGTCATGTGTATGTGAACTTGTATGTTTGTATGTGTGAAAAATCTAGTGGGGCAACGTTATAAAAAAAAAGTTTATTCTCGCAATACTAGGTACTCGATCGAAATAGAGGGTTATCCTACAGAGAAATACCGGTAATCATGGTTTAAAATTTACGAAGAATATCAGAGAGAATTTTGATAAACACTAGGTACTATACACACAGGCCTTAGTAATCAGTAGCCTTAGTACGAGTTTCTTTTTCGTTTAAAGTAATCGAAACGAGACGGCGCACTGTGCTCTGATTGGTTGGTTCATTAGAGCCGGCCAATCGCAGCGCCGAACGCGTACTCGTTACGATTACTTCAAACGAAAAAGAAACTCGTACTAAGCCCTCTGAATCAGAGGACTTAGTACGAGTTTGTTTTACGTTCAAAGTAATCGTAACGAGTACGCGTTCGGCGCTGTGATTGGTTGCTTCATTGGTGCTGGCCAATCAGAGCGCCGAACGCGTACTCGTTTCAAATACTTTAAACGTAAATCAAACTCATACTAAGGCCTCAGAGTGCCAAGCACGAATAACTATCGCATTCGTAACGTAATAGTATCGAGCGCGTTCGGCGCTCTGATTGGCCGGCTCAAGTGAACCAACCAATCAGAACGCTCAACTCGCTCGATACTGTTACGATACGAATGCGATAGTTATTCGTGCTTGGCCCTCAGAGCTCCGAACGCGGTCTCGTTTTGATTACTTTTAACGTAAGATAAACTCGTACTCAGAACTATTTTCGGTTAGATCAAATCTTTGCTTACTGGGTAATAACACTTACCTAACGAAGTTATTTGTAACATATACTTAGTACTAGCTATTACCCGCGGCGTCGCTCGCGTCACAAAAGGATAAAAAGTAGCCTATGTGACATATACCAATACATTCAGCGACATCTATACCAATACTTTTGTTTTCCCTCGGGAATATCAAATTTTTTCGGGATAAAAAGTACTCTATTATTTAATCTAGACTACTAACTTTACGTCTGCAAAAATTCTATGCAATCGGTTTAGTAGTTACGGCGTAAAGTCGGAACAAACAAACAAACTCACTTTCCGATTTATAATATTAGTAAGGAAGTAGGGATTAATTAATGCCAGTTGCCACTCACCATTGATTCAAATAAATAACCAATCCTTTGTGGAACAGTTCTTCAGAAATTGTATGGTTCAGCATCCTTATAAGATTAGCTCCTTTAGTGTAGGATATTTCATCGAATTTCTGCGATATTTCTGACGCATCCTCCACTTTCCTTGAGACAGGAGACGTGTTCTTCAGAGCGTCGGAGCGAAGCAAGTCCATCTTGTCGCGGGAGAACGATTCGAACATATTCCATTCCGGTTCAACCTGTAGAGAATAATGGTATTTTTCATGTTGATTTTTTAAAGTTAAGTGCGGAGGTAGTTCGAAAGACAATATTTGCCTTGTCAAAAAACCAGGCATAAATTGAGGCGCCTCAAGATTGTAAGTAGGTATAGGTTTTATTGAGTTTAAATCAGTCAATCATTTGAAGTAACTACCTATTTCAAAATGGCTGATATTACAAATACATTTTCCCAGATGGATCCAATCCAAGTAATGTAAACCTAATACTGCCCTAACCACCATGTAAAAAATCTGATAATTTTATAAATTCCCAATTTTTATGAATTAGGGAACACCGACAAAAATAAGGGCGAGGCCTATGATCAGCAGTGGACAAGCATAGCTGATATGATAAACAAAAAGTAATTAATTTGTTTATATTGTTTATATTGCTATTTTTTAGTTTTTATTTCCTGATTAGGTCCGTCACAAATTTCGCTGGATAACACTGTCACATAAACTTTAAGGGTTATTACACAGTTTTACGTGGTACTGATACTGTAAAAGTGTTTTTAACTATTTTTCGTAAATAAAACAACACGGACTCGAGGTTACTGCGACGGCCAGCGCCATCTATCTCAAATGTAATAAAAGGATACTTACATGATCAACCCCAACGTACTCGATATAGGTCGCAAATCCCTCGTTGAGCCAGAGGTCGGTCCACCAGCGCATGGTGACAAGGTTCCCGAACCACTGGTGCGCCAGCTCGTGCGCGATGTCTATGGCCACGTTCTGCTTGTCACGGGGCACGCTCTCTGCCTCGTCGAATAGAAGGGTTGTTTCTCTGTTCAAATGGTACATAAATATGTTTATTAATTTATGTCTCTCTCGTTGGCCGAGTGGTCACAAGTGCAACTGCCGAGCAAGGGGTCTCGGGTTCGATTCCCGGGACCGGGAAAAAAAACGCAGTAGAAGCACGGAGTCTGAAATTGTGCCCGGTATATGGCAATAGGCTCACCCCCTATTTATTACATGGGACTTATAACATAAATAGTGAAAAGTGGGTGTTACTTCTGTGTCCACCGCTGCCTACCCCTTCGGGGATTAAAGGCGTGATGTTATGTTTATGTTATGTAATTTATGATTCGTTATGGTTGTAGGATAAAGAAAGGGAGAAGGGAGGAAGACCGCTCACGACGGGATGATGATATCCTACGTTAGCGGAGGATTTGCCTTCAACAGTTTTACAACAACAACCAAAGTCAAAGTCAAAACATTTATTTCAATTAATGCTTAATGAGGCACTTTTGAAACGTAACAAGTGTGAAACAAGTGAAACAAGTGAATTTATTTCTGCAAATAGGCTACAAGGCAGCACTTTTACATGTCAATTTTATCAAGCGAACGATGAGGTCGACATTTCCTAACTGACTACTCTGAGAAGAAATGCCGAAACAAACTCAGAGGTCTGTCTCTAGAAGTAGAAGTAGAAGTCCAGACAAATATGTATAAAAAGATTACGTGTGAGAACCGTGCAAGTTCTTTCTGTAGTGGCCTTTTGAGGAAAGAACCACAACAGTTTGAGCGGACCCGTTCTGAAAGCAGTACGCATGTGTCGGTTTACAGTCAGCTCAATTAACAGGTGAGGCTGAGTGATTCGACGAACAATACCAACCTAAAGAACATTTGCGTGGGTCGCACAAATACTCAAACTGTCAGAGTATGAGTAAGAAATAAGAAAAGAAATGGCGAGGCAAAGTCTCGCACGGTCCTAGCACTAACAATTGTAAAAAATAGAGGTAAATGTCAAGTTTAAAAAAAATATAAATTTTTCAAATGAAAAACAATATCACATTATGCTAATAATGTCAAATTGCATATAAAAAGAAATGTAACTATATGTTACAAACATGTCAACATGACCTGTGTGGACGTTACAGCGGCTTATTCCCAAGCCAGACTATCATCTAGGTAGTCTTTTATTTTATAAAAAGCTTTACTAAAAAGTTTATCTTTAATGACATTTTTAAATTTATTTAGACTCAAATTTTGGATATGGCTGGGAATTTTATTGTAAAAGCGTATACTCTGACATCTAAACGAACCACTTATTTTCTTTAGTCTAGTAGTGGGAACAACATATTTGTCTCTATTTCTCGTGTTGATATTATGTATATCACTATGCTTTTTAAATAAACTTTTGTTTTTATGAGCATATACTACATTTTCATAAATGTATTGAGAGGCAACAGTCATTACATTAATTTCTTTAAATAGTTCCCTGAGAGAGTACCTCGGACTAAGATTATAAATTGATCGAATGGCCCTCTTCTGCAAAACAAAGATAGATTGAATGTCAGCAGCATTCCCCCATAGGAGAATACCGTATGACATAACACTATGAAAATAACTAAAGTATACTAATCGCGCTGTATCTACATCGGTTAAATTTCTAATTTTTTTAACGGCATATGCTGCAGAACTGAGCCTTTTCGATAATTTATCTATATGTGGAGCCCACTGGAGCTTAGCGTCTAGGGTTATACCTAAAAAGACAGCAGAATCTACAGGGCCCAACTCCTCACCCTTAATTAACACGCTGGTCTTTACATGTCTAACATTTGGCGTTGTAAATTTAATGCATTTAGTTTTAGTTTCATTTAGTAGTAGATTGTTGGCACTAAACCAATGTACTATCTCCGAGAGAGCGCTGTTTACATTATCAATGACTAATTGTCTACGTTTAAGTTTGAATAATAACGAAGTATCATCCGCAAACAGTACTATCCCGTGGTTATCCTTTACAAGGTAAGGCAAGTCATTTATATATATAAGAAACAAAAAAGGGCCGAGAATTGACCCCTGCGGAACCCCCATCCTGACAACAGACCCGGCGGAGACTTTTCCGTTTATCTCGACTCTCTGAATCCTGTTACTCAAGTATGAGGTAAGAAGATCCAGAGATTTACCTCTTATTCCATAGTGGGATAGCTTCCTGATCAATGTATCATGAAGGACACAATCGAACGCCTTGGATAAGTCACAAAAAATGCCCAAAGCGTCGCTCGAGTCCTCCCACGCGTCATATATGTGATTAAGAAGTTCAACACCGGCATCAGTTGTTGAACGACCCCTGGTAAAACCAAACTGGCTACCATGTAACAATTTATTTCTATTAAAAAATCTTTGCATTTGATTTAGAATAATTTTTTCAAAAATTTTACTAAATGTAGGCAGTACTGAAATAGGTCTAAAGTTAGTAGGGTCAGAAGTACTACCTGATTTTAAATAACGGAGTTATTTTACTATTTTTCATAAGATCAGGAAACACACCGCGGTCGATACAGTTATTAAAAATTAGAGCTAATAAAGGTGCTATAATAGCTATAACAGAGCCGGCGATGTACACAGAATTACCCCACAAATCTGCAGTCTTTTTCTTATTTAAGGTATGGAAGGTTTTGACAATATCTATATAATCTATGTGTTCAAAAGAGAACCCTATGCTGCAAGCTGTAACATTTTCTTTTAGTAAAGATTCTGCAACAGTGGGAGAGGAATTCAATGACTTAGTCGTGGATATAGGAATGTCCGAAAAGAAACTTTCAAATGCAGCTGCAACTTCTGCGTCTGATTTTATTACATTATTATCAATTAGAAGACTATATTCATTACTTCTCTTTTTAGACCTTCCCGTCTCACTGTTAATAATACTCCAGGTCGCTCTGATGACATTGGTACTGTTCTTTATTTTGGAGCTCAAGTAACGCGACTTTGCAATAGCGCAGACCTTTTTAAACAATTTAGAATATTTCCTAACATATATATTAAATTCAATTGTGTTAATAAATGTCCTCTCATTATAAAGCTCATAGAGGCGTTTCCTACTTTTATAGATGCCAGTGGTTGCCCATTCATTAAAAGACACATTGCCATTAACTGGTATAGTTTTAGGTGTAAAGGTAGATTCAAACTCGGTATGGAATAACAATTGAATTGTCCGTCCGTCTGTCTGTCAGTGAATCTAGTCTCTCTTTCCCAAGTGTAGTTTCGAATAGAGAAGAACGAGCAAGAAACTCCATCGTTACTCTTAAAAAAACCCCTTCGGAGAGATACACATGTTGCAGTAAAAATCCCAGCACATTGGATATATTGTTTTAAAAATATCGTGTTTAATATTTTTATTTCGTCTTCCGCTCTTTCGCTTCTGAGTGACTACAGAAACTCGATAAAAGGTGTTAAAAACCGTTCGCCTATCGCTACGGCGAGTTAAAATTCTACTGCGATTGGAATGATGTTACGCATGCGACAAGAATTGTGCACTCAATATTATTCATATGCTTAGCTAAACTAAACTTGTAAGTAGTTGTTGTGAGAGTTTAATATAAAATAATGTCACGTAATTTTAATCCCCGAAAGGGGTAATCATCTTAAACCTACTTTTCTACATGTCATGAAACCCATGTCGATACTAGGGAGTGGGCCTATTGAAATATACCGGACATAATTCCAGATTCTGTCTACAAGACTTTCCGTAAACCTAAAATTCTTTACATTTTTTTTTAACCTTTGCCCCACACCAGCATTTTCTTGTGTCGTGGGTGCGTTTATAAACATACAAGCTCACATACACATCACACCCAGACCCGGAACACCAATCTCTGGATTACACAAAAAGTTGCACCGTGCAGGAATCGAACCCGCGACACGTTGCGCGGCAGCCAGTTGCCAAACTACCACACCTACCGTGCCGTCAAACACCCCAATAAAGTACTTTGCCTGACTAGGGAATCGAACCCGAGACTTGACAGTACCACTTGCAACCACGCATCAAATGAGACAGAAAGTCTAAGAATACATTTATTTATTTATTTTTCCACTTACATTTACTACGCGAACTTTTTTTTTTCAGGCAGAAAGCGAGTGTTTAATACAATATTGTTATCTATAAATATCTCGTGCCATTCATAGCAAAGCAAATTGCACATATTGTAAGTGTAACAAATATTCCGTCTTAAATATTAGTAGATACTTGTATCTAACTATATACTGTATATATACTCGTAATACTAAGCCAAGGCTTATTTATGTAGTATTACGATACAGTATTACAGGGTTTCCAAAAAAAATCCCAGCAGCAGCACGGTGCCCGGAACTGTGCCCGGTATATGGCAACTAAAATAACTTTTTTATTTGGTACCCATAAACATTGCACCGGAGTTGGTCTACTAAGAGGACCCGGTGCCCCCTTCAAGTGCGGATGGTGGCCACCGGGGAGGTTTTACTGAGGTAAAAATCCCACACTCCAAACTTCTTTCCCCACACTCCAAACATAAACATAGGTCAAATAACTCACCTAAAGGTCACCAGCCCCCAGTTCTCCATGGCTCCACTTGAGAAATCAGGAATAGCAATGAGGTCCATTTTGTCTAAAGCATAGGGCACACCGAACACCTCTTCATAATACGCGAGAAGCTTTGGAGTAATCACTGACGCGTATTTGGCCTTCCCTATTAGTTCGGGCCTAGTCCAAATCTTGATTGGTATGGTAACATTATTTGTGCTCGTGTAACTCGTTTCTAGGGATTTGAAATCAGATAGAACGTAGGCAACTAGGTAGGTAGACATGCTGACTGATCTGTCGAAATGCGTCCATTGCCAGCCGGGTTGGTCGGGGCTGGAAGAAGACAGAAATGATTTCAGTAGACGTTTTATTGTGTACAAAAAACTGTTTAACCCATCGAGCGTCCTTCTGAGCACCCGGTGGATCATAAGAAAAAATGCTCCATGCTGCTTTCTCTTTTATAAAATCTATTATTAAGGTTTTGTTTTTATTTTCACTGTATTTGTTTTATTTCTATTGTAATGATCCTTGTTTTCGTTTGCCAATGGCCAAATAAAATAAATGCATTTTCTTTCTTTCTTTCTCCAAATGTCACGTGTGCACCCGTTGGATCATAAGGAACGCTCGACGGGTTAATTGTTGGATTGATTTTCAACTTTACTAAGCTTGCAATAAAGCCGAAAATGTTTTCAAAATACTGACTGTTGCTCAAAACTAAATGCAAAATTATTTGAAGGTTCTTCGCCTCATGATAACTAATAACATGGCTACATCGTAAAATCAACTTTGTGTTAGATATATTTAAGATATAAAATAGGGTAGATGACTAATTTTTAGTTTAATGTCCGTCTGGTAGATTATTTTAAATCATTAGCCACGTATTTTTTATTTTTTTACAGAAACGAATACTTTCAGCAATATATTGATTTGAAATGTCGCGTGACGTCACTTCTATGTACATTTTATACGTAGAAATGACGTTTTAGCCCCCACCCCTAAATTTTGATTCGTTATATCTAAGTATAATTTTATTATACATCAAATATATTTTTTCATTACCTAACTGACGGACTAATTACATTTATAATTTTCATACCCTGTCAACATCCCTATTGTGTGGAATTATCAGTTGCACTCTTCAAATGGTCATACTTTTAGACAGTTTTAGATTTATATAACTAGGTAAGTGTAAGTATGATGTAGTTACGTTAATATGATTGTCACTGCTTTTCCGATTTGCTTGCAAGCAATGGCTAATAAATACTCGATCATGAGTCGACACAGAATTAAATCGATTAAACAAGTACTTTTAATTCAACACGAATAATCATAATAAAAACTCCACGTGCGTTCGCAGATTATAAGTTGTTATGAAAAATATAACAAGCTAGCTGCATACCTACATTTTAAAGTGATATTCTTTGAGTATTTAACCCGTCGAGCCTTATGATCCAACGGGTGCACACGTGACATTTGGAGAAAGAAAATGCATTTATTTGGCCATTGGCACACGAATACAAGGATCATTATAATAGAAATAAAAAATACAGTCATAATAAAAACAAAACATTAATAATAGAATTTATAAAAGAGAAAGCAGCATGGAGCATTTTTTTTATGATCCATCGGGTGCTCATAAAGACGCTCGAGGGGTTAATCATCTTGGGGTATCTGATGAGTAGGTATTAACTGATATTAAAGCATTCAAACATTTTCAGCAGGCTACTAAGTTTTCATAAAATTTAAACTGACCTAAAACATTACTATTTAATACACAACTCTAATCTGTGCTAGGATCGAACCTACAACACGTAACGCAAAAACCTTCTCTCTACCTCAAAACACAAGAAAATTAAGTAACAATTACAAAATACCACTTACACAGGCTCCTGCGCAACTATCTTCATATTTGACAGCGCAGTGACAGTTTCGGGATGCGCGATGCTAATCTCAAACTTTGCTTTGAAGGCTGGCTCGTCGAAACAAGGAAACGCGGACCGCGCCGACGTCGGCTCAAATTGCGTGACCCCTAGGTTTCTGGAAGATAAAGAATAAATTATATTTTTAGTACCAAAATCTTCCTGTGTAGATAGATGACTGCACGGTTGGTGCGGTGGCTGGGCAACCGGCTGCCGCGCAATGTGTAGCGGGTTTGATTCCCACACGGAGCAACGCTTTGTGTGATTTACAGATTGTTGTTTGAGTTCTGGGTGCAATGTGTATGTGATTTTGTATGATTGTAAAAATACTTCTTTGAGTACATTTTTGCTTGTTATTGTTGAGATGAATGACCTCAAAGTATATTTTGATGCTACTGGGTTTTACCACTGTAGTGAAGATACTAAATAATTAAATGTTATGCTTTTTGTTTTGTTAATTAAGATAATTAGATTGTTTGGTTAATTATCACAACTGTTTGAAAAGGTCACTCGACTAGTTTCAAGCCAAGGTGGGGTCCATAATAACAGTTACGTAAGCAGTATAACTTACTAATTAATGAATATTTAAAAGGCGTACAGATACTGATTGTGAGATTAGCTTTTAAGTCAGTTAAGAATATAAGCTTTTATATATACCTACCTACCAGTATCAGTCCATACTCAGACATCATTCAGCTTTAAATAGAGATCATAATGATGAATTAATGAATCAAACAAGATGATGATTCAACTTCCACTTAGATAAAGCACAACTTCTCTTACTTATCACGTAATGTTATACCTTTTTGGGTTAGATAGACAAATTCCAAGTAAGGAATTGTTTATAACATAAATTATAAATAAACATTACACAATGTGAATATGTAGGTAGCTTATCTTGTTATTGTTTTATTTTTATACAACTTCATCATTTTTAATTTGGTCGGGGTAGTGACTGAGGTAGTGGCTCCTGAGTTATAGAATGTAGACATACATGAACATACATGTCAAAGTCAAAGTCAAAATCATTTATTTCAATAAGATCAGGAAGGCAATTATGAATGAACATGAACATACTTTTTAAAAAAGGGTAATGAATTTCTTGCTCGTTCTTCTCCATTCGAATCTACATTTTGGAATGAGCACCTAGCTTCACCTAGCTTTACTGACTGAAAGACTATAATTTATTTTGTAATTGTTGACATTTCAAAAATACAAAATTATGGTTTAATTGAAATAATTGCTTTAACTTTGACTTAGATTCAATCATTGAAAAAGACTCATCATGTGATCAAGTAAATTGTCACATCGGTCCACTATTAATGACCACCAAGACAATCAACGGTCAAATAATTAAATACTAAAATATTTCAAGAGTGAAGACTCGTCAATATCATTATACCTAGAGGTAAGAAAAGGATTTATATTTAAAAAGAAGTTTCAAATAGTAGTAATAATTAAAAAGTAAAGAATTCAACTTACTTGACTTCATTTTTGTCATTAACATAGGTACTCTTGTAAAATCCAGTCAAGGAATTTGAGATGGCACCTTCAAATGACAGCTGCAGTACATAGTCTACGTTAGCTTTTAACGCAGACTCCAGTCCTAAAATCAGTCTGTCTCCTGTACCTTCCACTATGGAGAGAATTTTGATTGTCCGCACCGCACTATGACTTATTTCAGTGTCCACCGGAGTAGGAGCTGGCGTAGTATCTATCCTTAAAGCTGTGGCATTATCGTCACTGGTTGTTGTTTCTGGTACGATTGCTGTCGTTGCATTCTGATCAACAACCACTGTTGTAGGAACTTCGGTAGTAGTGTTGTCTGCGGTGGTGGTGGCATTGGCTTCTGGCGCTTCCCGCTTCACTTTAGGGGACCGTAAAGTTTCAACTTTTTCATATATTTGTTCTGTAAGCTTAGCGTTGCTACTAATACTGAGGTTTTTAGAGTGTAATATAATTTCTTTGACACTTTTACTGGCTTTTAGTGTTATATAAACATCGCCAGAGTAGGTGGAGTTTTCTAGTTCCGCTTTTAGTTTGAGTCTGTAGAAACTCGGTATTATATATGATGGGAATCTGAGGTCAGGGGATGGTGACCCTGTTTGACCAAATGGTTCCGTTTCATCCCAAAAGTCTACCGTTTTCTGTGAGAGCTGAAACAATATAATATTTATTTTTAAAGATGTTTACATAGTTTTTATTACAAAATGTAAGTGATCAAATTCCTGTTAAAAGAATTAGGATAAAAAATTATTTAATTTTTAGACAATTTCTTTTTGGTAGTCAGTTTAAAACAGTTTTCTAGATTTAAAAGCTGACATTAGTAACGCTGGAAATGATGTCACAATGCAAAGACATAATAATTGTTTACTTAATTTATGAAACCTGAAAAAAAATCCAACTAACCTATTAATATAATAATTAAATTGTGAAGCATGTATTGACAAGACAAGAATAATGTAATTTTATTACATCCTACAAAAGAATGCAACAAATGATTAATATTCTAACAGCTAATTAAATAATTATGTGATTAAATACAATTATTTTCAATGCTTAGGTACTTAAAATTAGAAATTAATAATTTGATTAACTGAACTAAACAATAATAGAAAAACAAGGAAGTTATTTTTGAAAGAATAAATAAATAGAACTCGCAATAATATATGTAGTTTTTTTTATTACATGGATTGTATCTGTTTTATATATTTTTATATAATTTATCACTGAGAGACACATTAGTATGTATAAAGCTTGAAACAAAAATTACAAAAAAGACTTCATGTGTATAATTTATGGTGTCCCATGGCACAGTAAAATTTTGTTATTTAGCAACTATTCACAGGTACTTACTTTTTCATCTCCTTTGATAATAACTCCTTCAAATATAATTAAAACAATAATAGATTTTACAAACATTTTGTGCGCCTAACTAAAAATATCACAGGTTACAAAATGCAATAGGTACGTAGAGAAACAACTTTTTAAAAAAGCTGTCTTCTTTTTATGAATTAAACATTTTACACTACCGATAAAATAAACTGTTTGTTGAAATAACTATTTAGAAATATCCGCAAAAATATTACACACTTCCAAACACTCAAAGATCGATTGTCATTTTGACGTTTTGATTTTTTTTCAGAGCGAAACGAGATCCCACAGGCAAAGGACACGTTTGCTCCGGACAAAGTAGTTTAAATTATGATTATTTATACTGGTACTATCCGCAAAAGGCTGAGAATAGCATGTCACTGCGGAATTAAAGTTCGATAAAAAATATACGAAAAACAGTAGCTTTTAATTATAGTTGATAAGAAATATTATTACTAGATAAGACGATTTGAACTTGAAATCGGCCAACGTCTCGTGCGTGGCGTTGGTGAGAGATTAGATAACAGCTGTGGTTTGAGCACATTTATATAGTACCTATGAACATAAAAAACATGACGTGAATAAGCTCGGGCTTACCTTGAAGTAGGTGATAAAGTGCACAATAACTCCGACGATGACTGCAATTAGGACGGCGAAAATTATAAATGTTACACAAATGCAGTTTGATATGAATATTCCTCCCCTTCTTCCATAGTGGATGTCTTCTGGAGTTTGAGATTCATAAGCCAGGAACTGCTGCCGGCTGGTTGAGAGGGTCATGTTGTTAATTCATTCTGTAACAATTAAAACAGATAGGTGTTCAAATTGCCGGCCAATATCTTTTATTCTTTTATTCTATACCAGATTGCTCCGGAAAGAATCCGGTTGCCCATGAAACGTGCGAAGTCTATGAAGACTAGCGTCAGCATGTTTTCGTACAATCAATACAATAAGTATAACGGCCTTTTATTTTAATTAAGTAAATGGCTATCTTTCCTGCCTGATGACCTTCACCTGCCTAATTTAGGTGAAAAACCTCATAACAGATTTGTTTTTCTTTTTTGCTTGAGATAGGTAATATTAATTTGATTTCATTAAAATTTCTATGAATACCTCAACACTTTTTGCCTTTGCACATTCGATCTAATTCGGAAGACATAGATAACAATTACAGCTCTCGAAATCTTACATGTTTCACACACGTGACCTGTATGAACCCGTTTAGTATACGGATAAATATATCGATAGTATCAGTCATCGATGCTCGCTTTTAACAGAATATATGCGTGTACGCAATGTAACAACGGCCTTCAACTCGTTGGTCGAGTGGTAGTATGTCATGTCAAGTTTTGGATTCAATTCCAGGATAGGAAGTGGGGTGGGTTCTCCCATTTTAATTCAATGGGGTGATACGTCGATTAAAAAAGATGTGTCTGGTCCTTGGCTTGCTAGACTCTGGCCAAAGAAAGCTGTTCACAAAAATGGCGCCAGTTTAAAAAAGAATAGGATCTGTGAACCCTGGTGATGATATTGTAATTATTGGTAAGAAGTGGTAAGTAAGAAGGAAAAGTACCCTTAACCGACGAGCATGCATGAAAAGATTGATGACTGTTAATGAAGCGAAAGAGGTATGTAAGAATCGTAGTAATTGGCGTTCCTTAGTCTCTGCCTACCCCCATGGGAGACAGGCGTGAAGTTATGTGGTAAGAAGTGGGTGTAGTATGAATTTCTTGTTTTGCTACTTCTTCGGACATTGGAGGACAACAGGAATCATATTTTTATGGAATGTTTAGGAAGAAAACAACATGGCTGCTGTGTGAGATCAATACCAGACGTGGTTATTCACAATTTTAAAGAATTTATCTACATACTTACGGCGTGAACGTTTTGTCAGTAAGGAGTATCCCTTCCATAATGTTAACGATTTTATATTAATATGTTGGTTTCCTATATCGTTAATCTAGTTGCTTAATCAAATAGCAAATCATAACGAAACGATACCATTGGAAAAATACAAAGAAAGTCTATTTCGGTTTGAATAGCTTATTGATTTTGAGGCAGTAGATAACTTTGTCCGGTCATCTAGACAATGAAGGCTGATTACTAAGATAAACTAAACGTAACTTATTATACTAAGTTAAGTGAATCATCTGGCGTGATTCGCAATATCTTAACTGTAACACGTGAGATGTAGTTGGCCGTGGGTGGTGTGTCGAATTGATGATTCGCAAAACATCATGGGTTTATCCAAGAGGGTGTTTACATCTGTATGTATGTGTCTGTATACATTACTACTATAACTAGTGGTATCTAGATCTGATATAATTATAGCTTATTGTGTTTCAAAGTTCCACTTTGATTACTAACAAATACCAAGAAAACTTCAGGGAAAAGAGATCGTGTATTGAATGAGAATAATTAAGGGGCTTTGACTATGTACGTCGTACTACTAGACTGCACGGTTGGCGCGGTAGCTGGGCTGTCGCGCAACGTGTAGCGGGTTTGATTTCCGCACGGAACAATTCTTTGTGTGATCCACAGATTATTGTTTCGGGTCTGGGTGTCATGTGTAGGTGAACTTGTATGTTTGTAAACGCACCCACGACACAGGAGAAAATTCTAGTGTGGGGCAACGTTTAAAAAAGAAATGTTGAGGGAACAATTAAAATCGGAAATGGGATATAGAGAATAAACCTACTGTTTTTAGGCGCCGAAGGGTTTAAAAGAAAATTACAACTGAAAATCGTAATGGATAGACCATATTATTATTACTAGAAAGCAAATAGAAAAAGAGGTAGGATGGTTTGTAACCTACCGATCTAGAAGTCGTTGGGAGGCCTATGTTCGGCAGTAGATGTAAATGATTGTGAGGTAGCTTCAAAAGTAGTTTTGTAGTTGGAACTAGGTGAAATCAGATTATGAATGACGGAGTCAACCAGAGTTCAGAATTGAGTTTATTAACATTTCAACGAAGTGGCTATGGGTTTGACAACGCCATAGTAATGTCAAAACAATATTTGTATTTAATTACAGAAACACAGTATATCATTTTGAAAAGGAATTGTTTATTATTTGTATGAATTCTACGCTCGTCGAGTATTAGTAAGCAAAGAGTATAATAAGTATAGGGGGTCGTAAGTGTGTCTACTAGGTAAGGGGCTTAGATTGTCGGGTAAAACCGTTTTGGGTTTTTTGGACTTTTCTAAGATTTCTTAGTACCTAATAGTTTGGTGTCTATTTATAAATGAGGCACGTCTTGTAGCACGGAATTTCCAAATTCAATTTTTGGACAAACGTAGACAGTTAGTAAGGAAATAGTTCTTGATGTATAGAGGTAGTATAGATTAGATTCTTAGAACTGTAGATAACTTCTAGTAACACACATTTAAATACCGTTTCCGCTTAGTAATTTCCGACAGAACAACTTGTCTTTCGTACAATCACCTTTAGTGTTCGATGCAGTGATTCGGAATGCAATGCGTCATGGGAATTTATTATCTGTTCCTATATCTACAAAAGTAGATATGTACTAAGCTTACACATGTGTGCACTTTGGCGGGATATCCATGAATGACACGCGCAAGTTCTTTTAAAAAGGGCTCGTATTCATTTGAGGGCATGACTAATGATGCGTCCTCATTTGGCGAATGCACCGCTCGCAAATCAAATGTGGACGAATCATATGGTTGATCAATGATTTTTTTATGGCATAAGCCGGTAAACGAGCAGACGGATTACCTGATGGAAGCAATCGGCGTCGCCCATGGACACCTGGAACACCAGAGGCGTTACAAGTGTGTTACTGGCCTTTTGGGGATTAGGAGTTTGGGGATCGTTGGGGATTTAGGAATTGGGGAGATTGGGGAAGGGGAGGGTAATTGGGCCTCCGGTAACCTCACTTACACGACAAAACACAACGCAAGCGTTGCTTCATGTCGGTTTTCTGTGAGGCCGTGGTATCACTCCGGTCGAGCCGGCCCATTCGTGCCGAAGCATGGCTCTACCACACTTAAATTTTTGACGAAAAATTGCATGCTACAAAAAGCATCTTTTACCTCAAAGCAATGGTCAAATTGGATGTTTAGTTAGAGGCTCATATTGCAAACTACATTAAGGAATCGACACGTAGTTATTTATACAATAGGAAGTATTTCGATTACATAGTTATTTCTCATAGAATGCGAGAGACTGCCTCGTTGGTCGGGTGTTCGCTAGTGCGACTGCCGGGCAAGGGGTCTCGGGTTGGATTCACGAGTCGGGCAAAGTTTACTGGGTTTAAAAAAAATTCAGTAGTTGCGCGGAGTCAGGAATTGTGTCCGCTATATGGCAATAGGCGCACCCCCTATTACATCATGGGACTTATAACATAGAAAGTGAAGAATGGGCGTTACATTGTACAGTGGCATTAAGTGCTGTAATGTGCACATCTGTTTACCCCTTCGGAAGAAAAAGGTGTGATGTTATGTTATGTCGTTGGTCAAAAATTGGATGCAATGCTAGACTCTGGTTCAAAGGTTTTTAAAATTGAAAAGGTTGTTAAAAGTCCCGAAAGGTCGGGACTTAACCAATTTGGCTGTTTAGTGAAATCGGGGATTAAACCAGAACCAGATCCAGTGGTTCTTACTCAAAAGTTACGTTTCTTAGCCTATGGTTGGCTACTGAAACGAATTAAAAAGTTATTTATTAATAATAACAAAAAGTAACTGTTTCTGTATACTGAATCAATGTTTATTGTCTCACCTTTGTTTGAATACGTTTTGTTGCTACTGTCAGTGTCATTATTTCTGCCCACAACCGCATTACGCGCGGTGGCGTCAAAACCTATAATTATTTTACTCTGTGGTCACACACGAGTGTGGTTTATTGGTCATCAAAATGATGAGTCATTGCCATAACAACGATAAAACAGAAGAATGTTTAATTGAAATAGAGATGATGACTAAAATATGTTTTTCTGTCCGTCTGTTACTATGTCTGTCTGTGATATATCTACTTCCATATTCTACTTACCTATCCTATGTGGGGTAGTGATAGTGAGTTATGACGTTTTTTTTGCGTAAGTTAGTTTTTTTAGATTTTCTTAATAATAATTAGTAACACATATATTTTCAATGTACCTACTTACAGAATTTATGTTTCTACAGTTTTATAATAGGTATGTAGTAGGTATTTTTTTTTAAGGGGGAAAATCATCTAATGACTTCTCCCGCATCGTCTAATGAATGGGTGAGGCGGGAGGGAGTGTCAGACTCTTACTGAAAAACCACCCCGTTCCTTCTCCTGCACGTCGAGTCGGAGCCCCGGTTACCCGTTAGGTTCTCCGCGACTCCGAATCGGCATCGGCCCTGTTGGGCCCCATCTGTGGTGGTCTATGTAGGTATAGATTAGCTACAGTATCTACTACTACCTATCGTCAAATCAACTGACGTATGACGAATCAAAAGCGTAAATACTTTAAATATTTGATAGTATTGAAAGCCAAAATAATTAGATTTTAACTGAAGAACTAATAGTAATTGCAATGGACGTATTGTTTCGACTTTATAATTATTATTAATACGTTTTTGTTTTCCGTTCTTCGTCATCATCACCTATTTGTATTCGCTGTTTTTAAGTAGAATCTTTAAGGGATTTCCTGTAAATCATTGTTCTAATAGGCTTTCAATTAACGTTGGTATGTAACAGATTTACTTGTGAACTTACTAATTATTGTTGGGATTTATCCTGTAAATTATTAGGCAGGTAAGTATGCAGGTACTTAGATACTTATTGTGAACAAT